CCCTGGCAGGCCCTGCATCTTGGCCTCCAGGCGCGGTCTCAGTGGCCAGAGGCGGCCAGCTAAGCAGACGTGTCCCTGCTGCGTTCTGCTCCAGGAGGACACTCATTGTTCTGACTCGCTGAGCTGTCCTCGCGGCCGGCTTGGGCAGCCAGCAGGCAGGTCACCCTTTGTTCCCTTTGCAGCAGCCCAGCTCTCCAGTCAGCAGTTTGTCTTGGGCGTCTTCCCACTTGGCTCGCTCAGGCCGCATGCCCCTCCCCTTGGGAAGCTCCTGTCCTCTCCGGAGGGTGGGGCGTCCCCTGCTCAGCACCCCTGCTCAGTTTGAGGGTCCATCATCCTGTTATTCTCTCTCCATTTTACAGATGAAGAGACTGAGGTCCAGAGTGGGTCCCTAGCCACCCATTTTCACGCAGGGCTCCACCTGGGGTTGGAACCAGGCCGTTGTCTGCCGTGGGCCCTTAACAGTGGACTGAGGTAGGGGGATGGAAATGGGGGAAGGACAGTAGAGAATTTGCTGTGGGCACTGCCCTGCCCTCTGAGAACATGTATTATTATTAGTATTAACTACTGCTGCTGCACTGTTTCTTGGAGTAAAGGTCTATCATGAGGAAACTTTGAGTGGTAAGCTTTGCAGCCCCTCCAGGGCAGATTTAAGTTCACCATTTGGTGGAAGAAAGATGGGTAGTCTCCTCTGGTGTGATTCACCGCCTTGGAAAACCCGCCGGACGGCCAGTTATGGATCTGTTCCAACTTGAGGCACATAACACACACTGGCAAAAAAAAAAAAAAAAAAAGACCATATTTGTCAAGTCTCTGTCCTCTTCCTGAATGATCTGCTTGACGTTTTTCTGACTCGTGGATGCCTGATGCCTGTGAGCCTCTGGTGTGGGCTGGACAGCCAGGCCTCGGTGCCAGTCTCAGGCATGGAGCACCATGCTCTCTGGGCCTCAGCTGCCCCCTTGGACATGAAGGCACCAGTGAGGCGGCCTTGGGCACCCTGAGTGTTGTTTTCTTCCTCCTTCCCCAACTCTGGGTGTGTATGTGCTGCTCCGTCTATCTTCAGTGAGTGGAATCTCCAGGCCTGAGCCACTGGACACTGGGACAGTTCTGCCTGCAGAAGGAAGGTCCCACCTCAAGGCTGTCTGATTATCAGGGGCTAGCAGGCACTGGACTTGAGTTGGGAGTAGGACCTTGTCACCTCCCCTTCCTTGCTGACTGTGGAGGCAGGAGGGGGCAGACCAGGGTGGCAGTCCCCAGCTCTTGGATGCTATGGCTTGGAGTGTGAAGACACTGTGAGAGACAGTGGTGGAGAGAGGGTGAAGAGACGGTGGCAAAGTGTAAGCAGAGGAACCCTGGAGATGGAGCCACAGTTAAAAGTTTCGCTTGCTGGATAACTGAATGAAGACCTGACTTGAAACTGGTTGGAGATAAAGCTTCCTGAGTGACTGAGGAAACCAGAGGCTTCTAACATTTGTGCTGCTGAACTGAACCTGGACTGTCACTGATCGAGGATTTGTGCCTGGTTTAATCTGGCCTGGGACTGCTGGACTAAACCTGGACTTCCACTGTGTGATAGTCTCCTCCACTCCTCAACCTATTTTCCTAATAGACCCCACAACTGTGAGGAGCCTGTGAGGTAATTTGCAGTGAACGTGGTCCCAGTGCTCAGTAGAGACAGGTGCAGGAGCAGGTGGGCGGCACGCTTGACCACGGAGCTACTTGTTTAGTACTGTGGGTGTTACTGACAGGGACAGTTCCCCTCTCTACAGCAGGCAGAAGTTGGACTCGGCCTCCCCCCATGTTATTGCTGCTCCTTCCACACCACACCTTGGGCCAGGCGCTCGGACTAGATAAAGGGATGTATTCATAAGAATGTTCGTTTTCTAGTTTGAACTGTTGTTATGTTAAAAACTGCCCTTATTCTCAGGAAATACACACTGACGCGCCTGAATCAGGATATCAGGGTGGCAACTTGTTCTCAAGTGGCTCAGAAAAGACACGTGTGCACACACGCCGAGCGAGCAAACGCGAGAATACCAATGTGCTGAGAGGGCGACAGGCAGGAAACGGGGCAGAGTTCTTGAAATTACTTTAAAATAAAGGTTATGAAAATTCAAAGAGCTGGCAACACTACCCACGAAAGCAAGCTGCTACCGGAAAGGTCAGTGCTTCCAGCACAGCAGCTGCTCTGTGGGAGGGATAGGGCCACCTGCCTCCATGAAGGCTACGGCCTCAGAAGCCCTCTGGGACAGTTCGCCCCTGCCCTGCAGGGTGGCTAGCAGGTACACACTCAGCGACTAGCTGGAAGGCTGGAGCTCCCAGTCTGCCCACGGGTGCTGCGGAAGAAAGGGCTGGCGGTCTCCTTCAGAGAAGCTGGAGCTGGTCTGCTCTGTGGCATATGGGTCACTGGGAGAGGGAGCTGAGCGCAGGACAGCTGGCTTCCAGATGGTCAGTAACTGCGGCGCATCCATCACACTATGTCCTTTATGAGATGCTCGGCGGCCAGGCTTTAGTTTCCTGGGTGTGGTGAGGACACATGGTCCAGGACGAGAATGTCCTTCTGTGGCACAGCAGGATGGACTTACAGGAGTGGCCTGGGTGTCTGCAACCTTCTCTCTCATGATTCTGTAGGGCCACATTTCCAGAAAGGGTCACTCTGTGGACTCGCCGCCTTGCGTCCAGCGGCTGAAGGCTGAGGTCTGGGTGCCCTTAGCAATTCTCTCTCTGGCCACGAGGGGCCTCTGCCTCGCCAAGCCAGGGTCAACTTCTAAAGCTCCTGAGATGCTGAATTACCCCTCTGACCCTTCCCCAGGCCCTCCTCTCACCTCCACCCGAGGGCAGGCCTGCTTCCTTCTCAAACATCCTTCCTGCCCTGTGGTCCCCAGGGTCACCCAGCCCCCTCGGCCTCGGCCCGCAGGGTCCCCACTGTGGGGCTCTGCTGCCCTCTGGTGTCCACCAGCAAGAACACAGCCGCTCTTCTTGTCCAGAAAGATGGAATTTTAGATGGCATTTTCTTCTCTGGAATGGTAAAAGTTTTGAAAATGGAAGACCTTGGGTGACCTGTCCCTGGATGGAATTTTAGAGTGGAGTTCTTTTCTCCAAGGAGCGGGAGGATGATTCAAACCGATGACCAATAGTTTAGCAGCTGATACACGCTGCAACACATGCTCTCCTTTCTGCCATTTGGGGCCCTGCAGCGAGGCTGTGAGCCAGGACCCTCACCAGCCAAGCTTAGCTCATGGTCACAGTCATAGAAACATCCACATGGACACAAAGGTGGCCGCCAGCAGAATCACTAGCTGCGGTGTGGGGGTTCGGACAGCACCAGGTGACCCTGTCATACAAAGTGACCCCACAATGACTGTGCTGTGTTAGGGCAGAAATGTTCTGCCATTTAGAAAAACGGCCTTTGTTTATATACACACACCCCGTCTTTCATTAGCTCAGCTTACACATCAGTATAGCTATAAGGCTAATAGTCCATGCTAACTCACACTTGAACCTTCTAAAGCAAAAGATCAAACACCACAGCCTTCAATATGAGTTACATCTCAACATCAAGGAAACAAAAACCCTCAACACTGGACCAACAGGCAACATCGTGACAGATGGAGAAAAGACTGAAATTGTCAACCATTTCATTTACGTGGGTCCACAATCAACACCCACAGTGGCAGCCATCAGGCTGAAAGGCATGCTGTATTGGGGAATCTGCTGTCAGGGACCTCTGCAAAGTGCTAAGGAGTAGAGATGTCTGTTTCTAGGTTAAGGTACACCTGACCCAAGCCATGATCTCAATTACTTCCCAGGCAGCTGACAGATGAACAGTGAATAAGGAAGACAGAAGGAGAATCCATGTGAGTTACAGTGTTGGAGAAGAGTACTAAACAGCCCATGGACGGCCCAACCAACAAAGCCTGTCTTGGAGGAAGTACAACCAGAGTGTTCTGTAGAGGTGAGGACAGGGAAACTTCACCTCAGACCCTTCGGGCATCTTGTCAGCAGGGGCCAGTCTTGGAAAAAGACAGGAAAGGAGGGTCAGCGAGGGAGAGGCAGACCCCGCCCCAGCTGGACGGACACCGTGTCTACCAGCGGCTCAAGTCTATCCGGGATGATGAGAATGTCCAGGTGAGGGCAGGCTTCTGGTCCATTACTCTCTGGGTCATGGTGAGCCCTATGGACTCCACCTCGCTGACAACGGTGCGACAGCGGCAGGGGCCGGCAGCATTGTCCCCCTGCCTCTGAACTGCAGGGTTTCACCTGGATTCACGGCAGCGCACACTTGACTGCGATGCTGCCTGGGTTTTTACAGTAAAAACCAAGCCGATCGCTGCTCCGGTTAATTTTTACTTATGTGACCCTGAGTTCTGGTGGCCAGGGTGTGCTGCTAACCCGAAGAGCATGCATCTCCTGCGGTTTAAATGCACTAGCAGCTCAGGGGAGACAGATGGGCAATCCCTTGTCAGGCGGGAAGATGGGCCGTGTCCTCGGGGTTTAGTACCTGGGAACCCTGACAGGGCGTCCCTGAGTCAGAACCCACTGGAAGGCAGGGAGCTGGAGCTCTGTGATTCATGTCCCCTGAGAAGAGATACTCAAGCCACACACAGCGGGATCCACCAGGTCTCCTCCCACGGTTAAAATGCAGCAATAAGTGTGGCTGGGGTTCTGGAGGGCCTGGAATTGGTGGGGGTGGCTCACGACTGACACCACAGTAAAGCAGAGTACAATGGAGTCCAGGCCTGGAACCCTGTGGCCTCCCTGGGAGCCTGGGGACTTCTTGAGAATGGGGAGGTGGGGGCCCTCCAGTGAGGCCTTGGTTGCCAGGTGACTGGACTCCGCTCCGCCCAGAGTCCACTGAGGGTGGCAAAGCAGCTTGTCGCCTGGCAACCTGGCAGTGTCTCCCCTGAGCCTGAACCACACAGCTGCGCCCAACTCTGCTTGCTGGACCCCTGGGGTGCTGGCCTGACTCCCCGAGAGCAGGACCGCGGGCACCTGTGCTCACAATGAACCTCGTCCTCACTAGGTGAGCCACTCTGGAGGGAGAGGGGGAGGTCGGGGGGTGTACAGCCTGGGAAGCTCCTGGGGTAGGGCTTCCCCTTACACACACACACCTCAGGCTAAAGTGATGTACAGGGTTTGGGACCAGAGAAGCTTCTGGAATCTGTCCTCTGCTTGTCCAGCACCGGTGTCCACCACACTGGGCCTCCTCCCCTTGCTGCACCCACCTGGGCGACTGCTCTGTGCCTCCAGCCCCAGTGGCCCTCCCTCGGAGTTGCCCGCCTTCCCAGAGGCCACTCGCCCCTCCCTTCCTCAGGGACAGCCAGGTGAGGGTGATGGAGGCTGCAGTGACCAGCGCTGAGAAGTCCTTTGGCCAGCTCTGCTCGCTGCTGGCCGCCTACACCCGCAAGACAGCTCGGCTCCGGGACAAGGCCGACCAGCTGGTCAAGCAGCTAATCAACTTCGCCAACGCCGAGAACCCAGAGCTGCGGGCCACCGTGCGTGACTTCGCGGAGGACCTGGCCAAGGTGCAGGACTACCGGCAGGCGGAGGTAAGGTGCCAGGGCGTCACTGAGGGCAGGCAGAGGTGGGGGGCTGATGAGGATGCCCTGTGGGCACCCCTAAAGCCCAGGCTGATGGCACCTCGGCATCCACTCCAGGGCCTTCTCTGAGGGCCCAGACAAAAGACAAATCCTGTTTGGCAGGGAGAGAACTGACAGGAACCCCAAAATCCTCTGCAACTACAGAGCAAACCCAGTCTCTCCTGTGGACACGCGGGAGCAGGGCCAGTACCCTGGGGAGCCCTGGGGAGCCTGGAGATCGCCAGGCCCAGCCCAGCACTCGGCAGTGGGGCTTCTCTGGGGTGGCTGTGCCTGTCGGGGCGCCGAGAGCGGGCACCCACAGCAGGGAGCGTCTCTGGGGAATCTGCCTGTCACACTTCTCTCCTGTGGAGCAGCTAGGGGGTTCTCGGTTAGCGGCCAAGCATTTCACTGCTGTGCTTTCCGGAGCTCTGGTAGTGGTGCAGGCCTGTGCTGCCGACTTGAAGGCAACCAGTTCAAACCCCCAGTTGCTCTGTGGGGAATGATGCACAATCTCCCCCACTGGATGTACTGCAGTGGAGGGCAAGCTGAGGGCCAGCTCCGCCTCGATGGCACAGAGCAGCTCCCACTGCGACACTGGCTCACGGGGCCCTACAGTACAGAGAGGAACTGCCCCATGGGGCATCAGGGCTGTGAATCTCTACAGAAGCCAACTAATGCAATCTCCCCTTCTAGCAGCTGGTGGATTCAAACTCCCGACCTTTCTTTTGGTTGGCAGCTGAGAACTTTAGCCACCACACCACTAGGGAGCTCTGGGTCCTAGTGGAAAGGCACTGCCTGCCAGCCCAAAGGCCCACGACCCGAACCCGCCGGCTGAGCAATCTCCCGCCATGTGATTAACTGTCTCCTAAAACCCACCAGAGGGGCAGCTATGAGCGGAGACTCGACAGTCCACAGCAGCCGCCACCAGAGATCCTTACATGGACCTCGTGGGCCAGTTAGGTCCATGTGGCTAGGAAATGAGCCGGAGTGCTGCTGGTGTTGTTGGGTGACGCCAGGCCCCCCTCTTCACCAAGCCCCATGCCGCACATCCTCCTGACCTCTGACACACTCGAGCCTGCTGTCCCCGTGTCCATCCGTCCTGCCCAGAGCATCCTCTCTTCCGCTGACCTTCCCCAGCATGATGCCCCTTCCCGAGGGCTGGCCCCTCCTCACCACACGCCCGAAGTCCAGGAGACGGGGTTCCCTCATCCTTGCCTCTAAGAGCACCCACCTGCACTTGTTCCAAGACAGACTTGCGTGTTCTTTCCACCTTTCTCATGGAACACCACACAACTGAAAATCCCACGCGTGGGGTCGGGCACCTGTTAGTCTCTGGATTGACATCCTGGCTCTAGCTCTTCAAGGAGATGGCAGGTTGGCCGACGTAGTGTGGTCATTTGATGTTTCGGCTGCTGCTTCCACGCTCTGTGGGTGCAAGTCGAAGGGCACCCTTGACAAGGGCCGTGTTTTCTGTATTTATTGTGGCGTTGCCTGTTGCCCAGAGATGAGGGTTCTGGCTTTGGGATGTTGGTGTGTAATCCACAGTGGGTGAGATTAGGTACAGGCTCTAGGGAGGAAGACATGGGCACTGCACCCCGAGTCTGGACTTGTCCCCCCTGCCTGTGATGAGGTGGGCACAGCTTTGGCTGCACAGGTGGTTCTTTCTAAGTGCCGGCTGCAGGTGGGGCACCGAATCTGGCTGTCTGCTTCGACCCCCTGCCTGTCCCTTTGCTCCAGGTCGAGAGGCTGGAGACCAAGGTGGTCAACCCCCTGAAGCTCTACGGGGTGCAGATCAAGCAGACCAAGGTGAGTCGGGGCACCATGCAGCTGGAGGGCCCAGGGTCCCCCTTCTCAGTCCCCTGGGAACACCCCTCTTCCTTCAGGCGGAGATCAAGAAGTTCAAGCGAATCCGCAACAACGAGATCAAGCAGCTGGAGAAGTTGGAGCGGCTGAGGCAGAAGTCCCCCTCGGATCGGCAGATGATCGTATCCTCCCTGCTGGCCGCGGGCTGGCCGCCCAGGCTTCATGGCCCAGGCCCACTAGACAGAGGCGTGGGGGTGGGCATCCCGAGGGCCTGCTGGCTTGTTCTGGGTCCTTAACAGCGACTACTTCAGTCCCAGGTGAGTGTCACCATGTGCCTGGAGGTGGAACCACAGGCAGGTAAGGAGCCTCACACAACGGCCAGGTGAGATCTCACCTGGGCAGAAGCGGGTGTGTGCCGGGCCTTGTGATGTGGGGAGCCAGGAACCTGTGCCCTTCTGGGACTGACACTGCTCCATCCTCCAGGGTCTCTGTGTGGTGGGAGTAACTCGAAGGCCCAGGCTTGGGCTTGTGTGCTCTGAGTCCTGAGTCCTGAGGTGATGCACATGGTTTGGTGCTTGACTGCGAGCTGAGGGGATGCAGGTTCAAGGCTCCCAAAGTGCCTAGAAAGAAAGGCCAGCCAAGCTAGGTCTAAAAGCCATGAAGCGGCTCTCCGTGGGGTCATCAGGTGTCCAAGCCGATGTCATGGCAGCTGGTTTGGCATGGCAACCCCCTCTAGATGCCAACCCCTGGGTTGCTGTACCAACTTACGCCAACTTGCTGAAAATAGATCGTAACTCAGGCCCATGTCAGTGATGGGGAAGCTGAGGCTGGGAACAGCCCAAGACTCAGGTCTAGGGTTGTCTGCCTCCAAAATGCAGGTTCTCCTCACCCCCGACCCCGATGGAGAAGCCTCTGTCGCCGCCCCTCCAAGGCATGAGTGGCTGGCCCGAGAGGGACAGGTGTTGTGCGCAGGGATGTCCAGGGGTGACAGAGGGGCAGCTGGTTAGACAGCCCAGCGAGCAGCCAGCCTCACGTCTTCCCAGAGCGCAGACCTTGAGACTGAGCCCGTGTATCACTGAGCAAGGAAACTGGCTTGGGGGTCAGGTGCCAGTGTCTGTCCCCAAAGCCCCATAACCACAGTCCTGCTCCGCCCTGTCCTGGCCGGTGAAGGCTGGAGCCACCCCGGGATGCCGCCCTCTTGCCTCTCCTGAGCAGGCAGAGAGCAGTGTACAGAGGGCCTCGGTGGATGCCAGCCGGACCACACAGCAGCTGGAGGAGACCATTGACGCCTTCCAGAAGCAGAAGCTGCAGGACCTGCAGGTGAGGTGCTGTGGAGGAGGGGCTGTGGCTGCGTGTGTGAACCAGCGTGTATTTACAGGAGTGCAGGTGTGTGTGCTCATTAGTGTGCATGTGTGTGCATGCGTGTGTGCGTGGACATACTTTATGGGAGTAGCTGTGTGTGCATGTCAGAATGTGTGCTTGCACTCGTGTGAGTACGTGTGTGTGTGTGTCAGGTGTGCATCTGCGTGCATGCAATTCTGCAAGTGCATGCCTGTGCGTGCCGTGAGCATGTATTTATGTGTGTGTATACGTCATGCACTTGTGTGAGTACGTGTGTGTGCCAGGTGTGCACCTGTGTGTATCTTGTGAGTGCATGCCTGTGTGTGGATTTATGGGAGTGTGTGTGCATGCATGTGCCCATGTGCATGTATTAATGGATGTGTGTTTGTGGATGCAGACAGGAGTGCAGCTGAGTATTCACAAGGGAACATGCGTGTGTGTATCAGCACGTATGTCCTGACGCATGTAGCCACTGGAGTGCGTGAGTGTGTGCATCACTGTGTCTGTGGAGCGATTTTGTGTGTATGTGTGAGTTTAGGTGTGATGTGTACGTATACGGAGTCTGCCTTTGCACAGGTATGTGTGTACACTTGTACACACGTAAACAGATGTGGGCTTGTGTATGTGTGCACGCATGTTCGTGGGAGGGAACATGTCTCATGCATGTATATTCCTGTTCACGGGAGCGTATACTGTGCTCCTGATGTAGCAGTGTGTCTGTGTGCCTGCGTGAGCGCCGTGTGTGCCTGGATCTAGGCCCTGTGTAAGCACACGTGTGCACGTGGATGTGAAGATGTGTGCACACACGTATGCTTTATCTAGGTGCGTGTGTGCACGCCTGTGCTGTGGCAACATGTATGTGCGCCGTGTGCAGCTCCCAGCACGGTTCAGCCCGGCCGTGGGTGGAGGCGGCCAGCTGTCCAGAACAGCTGCTCCAGGCACAGCTGTCCTGCTGGGAGTCCTGTCCAGGAAGAGGCTCCACAAGCTGACCTTCGTCCTCTCCCTGCGGAACCCCTGGCTGCCTTTCTCGGGCTGTGTGGTGGGGAGACGCTCGCCCACCACTGGGGCCCCGGGCCCAGAGCGGCCTGCAGGCCCAGGCCTGGAGCCCAGCTTGTGCCTCAGAAGGCTGGGTGCTGCAGGACCAGTGGTTGGGAGGCCCTGTGCCCACTCTTGATCCCTCTGTTCCAAAACGGCTGCTACAACAGGTGTCGACTCCCTCTCAGCCAGAGTAGGACTGTGTTCCACAGTGTTTCCTGTGGTTGCCAGACCTTTCTTCTGTGGAACCCAGGAGTGGACTCAAATAAATCTCCAACTCTTCTACTAGCAACCAAGTGCATTAACCATTTACACCCTTCAGGAACTCCATGGGGCTCTGGTGGCAGAGTCCTAACCTCCAGGCCACACCTCCGATGGTGCTGAGGGACAGACAGGCAATCTCCTCCCTTTTTTATGGGTTTATAGGAAGCCCAAGGGAGGGCCAACTGTGAGTCCACTAGACTCCACAGCAGTGAGTTTTGTTATTCATATAAAGATAGCAGTCTTTCTCATCTAGAACAAGAAAGAGTGAAGAAAACCAAAGCCACGTGAAACAATTAGTCAAAGGCTCATGGATTAGACACACTCCAGCCTTGTGACCCTGAGAACAGAAGGACCACACGGTGCCCAGCGACCACTACTGACCGCCCTGAAACTAGGAGAATCAGATAGTGCCTGGCTATCATTGCTGACCACTGTGAGCCAGGAGGACCATACGGTGCCCAGCGACCACTGCTGACCGCCCTGAGAATCAGAGGACCACATGGTGCCCGGCGACCACTGCTGACCGCCCTGAGAACCAGAGGACCACATGGTGCCCAGCGACCACTGCTGACAGCCCTGAGAATCGGAGGGCCATATGGTGCCCTGCGACTACTGCTGACCGCCCTGAGAATCGGAGGGCCACATGGTGCCCGGCGACTACTGCTGACCGCCCTGAGAATCGGAGGGCCACATGGTGCCCTGCGACCACTGCTGACCGCCCTGAGAATCGGAGGACCACACAGCGTCCAGCGACCACTGCTGACCACCCTGAGAACCGGAGGGCCACTGTTAGCCTGGCTACCAGGGACACTCCTTTGAACAGTTACCTGTCTGAACTAAGAGGCTGGATTTCCCCAGGGACAGAGCTCAGAGGGCAGGAAGGGAGAGGAAAGAAGGATGCTGGGAAATGGTAAACACAGAAGAAAGCGCAAAGAGTGCTGTGCGGATTACAGTCAATGACAGAAGGCGCATGAACTGCTGAAATCCCTCTGCTCTGTAAAGGTTCACTGAAATCACAGGAGAGAAAAACCAGAGTGGAGCTACCTGCAAGAAAGCTCTTAAAGACGGCAGACAGGTGGGACGGAAGAGGAGATGTGAGCGCAAGGTGCTTCAGCCAGGACTGTGGCATCATCTCCACCTTTGAGCTAGTGAACTTATTTGAACTTCAAATAAGTGTATTGCCTGCTCAAACAAAAAGGAATCTAATCCAAAATACTGAAGTTCCTCCTGGACGCATCTCCCCCAGGACAGCCAAGTCCCTCCCGCCAGGCCTGTACAGGACGCTATCCCAGGATCCTCCTTCAGTAAGGACAGCTTACTGAAGCGGCCCGCATTTCTCTCCCTCAGAGAATCTTCGTGGACTTCGTGACCATCGAGATGATCTTCCATGCCAAGGCTGTAGAGGTGTATTCCAGTGCCTTCCAGACCCTGGACAGCTACGACCTGGAGCGAGACCTGGAGGTGGGCTACAGGGGTCCACTTTCTAGTTGGTGTGTGGGGCTGAATCTAATTTTGGTTGTCTTTTTTTTTTCTTTTTTCCCCTACTGACCTCTCCAATCTTTTCACTGAACAAATTTCCCAAAGCGGGCTGGTGCTCCATTCAGCCAGCCGCACTCTGCTCCACGGCGTTCATTAGCATCTTCACCACACCGCTCCTCCCCTGCTCTCTCCGTGATTCTCGTTCCCACTCAGTCATCCAGCCATCCTCTCCAGTGCTACCTCTGTGCTGCGTGCACAGACAAATGCTGCCCGGGGACCCTGTGGGGCTGGTTTCTCTAGGGACAGAGGGCCCCTCAGGTGTTACTGTCCACCTTAACAACCTGTCTGTTGTTGGGTACAAGTTATGCCACAAGAGGCAAGTTCAGTTCCAGGTTTAGATGGTGACCATGGCCACAGGGTAAGGAGCTGTGCTGCCAATCCAAAGGTGTGTGGTTCGAATCCCCAGCTGCTCTGCAGGAGGAAGACGGGCAGTCCCTCCGGTGCGATTCCCTGCCTCTGGAAAGCATCTGTGTGTCAGTCCCACTCCAGCAGCACATGGACCCAACAGCCCAGCTAAGGGGCCGTGGACAGGCCATCAGTGGCAGTGGTCCTGCCAACCAAGGCTGGTAGTTCAGACCCACCAGCAGCTCGGCAGAGACAAACAATCGACCTCCCATTACGGTTTACAGCCACTGAAACCCTGTGGAGGGTTGCTGAGTTGGAATTGACTCAGGCAGTGTGTACGAGGCTTTTAATCTGACGAGAGTCCGGGGTGAGCTGTCCCAGCTACCTCTGACACAGTCCTCAGCCCTACCTAGCGGTATCAAATCACCTCCGAGTTCTGCCATCCCCTCACGGCCTGGGCTTTGACGAGGCTCGGCACGGCTGCCTGGCACAGACAGCTGGGGCTGGTGTCCTTTCAAAGGTCCTCTCAGTGTGGTTAGTGGTTGATCGTGGCTGTCTTCTGGGTTCACCACAGGCTGAAGAATCTGCAGGGCTCCGCGACGGGGAGCTTGGAACAAGCACAGGGTCCTCCTGACCTGGGAGCCTTGTGCCCTCACAGTTCACATGCCCCGAAGTCAGCTTTGTCGGATGCACAGCGGTGTCTGTGGTCAGAACATGCACTGTCAGAGGTGGACCGGCCACGTGACATTAAGAATGAGGCGGCAGCTCGTCCGGTGTCGGCTAGGCACTCAGTAGGGAGACTTAATGCAGCAGATCTATTCTATGCTCCCCAGTGAAAGCTGGGGTTTTGCAGGCTCTGGTGAGATGACAGGATGGTGGACATCCAAGGCCAACCCAGCAAGAGTTACAGACTTAGCATTGGACATGAGCTATCAACAATTAGAGGATGATTCTTACTGGCCAGGCCAAGCCTGTCTCTCCCTCATTCACACATGGCCATTCCCTGTGCCTAGCCTTCCTCACACTATGGTGACCAGTCCCCATGTGAGCACCAGAGCCAGGGCCGAACCAGACAGGTGCCCTGGATGCAGGCATTGGTGGTGCCAGCTCTTCTGACAAACTCAGAAGCCCCTCTGTGTTGCTGCACCACTTTCACTCATTATAAACAATCCCCAAGACCATGCTGCATTCAAGGGAGGGGAGTCCCAGTCTCCCTCTTGAAGGGGTCCAGTGTCTGAGGATTCAAGGACGTGCTTTAGAACCAGTTCATGGGCTCCCATGCATGTTCTTGTCTCTATAGTGTTCTTTTAGGGTTGGGACAACCTAATCCCATTGTTTCCCTGTGTGACTATGGACAAGCTATTTATCCTCAATGCGTACCCATTCCTCACTCATACAATGGCCCAGCAATGCCCATTTTCAGGGCTGTTGGAAGAGTTGTGTGAAACAACAAATACAGAGCTTCTAGAACATTCTGGGACAGGTGGAGGGGCCCATCTGTTCTAGAACTTCTGGCCCCACCATATTTCCTGCCTGCCCCACTTCCTCTCTGTCTTTTCAATCGGCAGGATTTCAGAGCCAAAATGCGGGGAGTTTATGGTCAGTGTGACCCCCGGCCTCTCACCACCACCACCACCATCACCTCCTCTCTTCCGTGGGCTGTCATCAGCCAGGTAAGCCCTGGGTGGGGTGACAGGGGGAACAGGTGCCAGACCTATGATGAAGTGACAGAGAAAGGTGGGATCAGTGGGACCAGGGAGCAGAGCGAGGTGGCCGAGGAAGAGGCCACCTGAGAGGGCGAGGGCTATTCTCGAGGCTTCCACTTCACCAGGAGTCACAGCCCACAACAGCCGCTGCTTCTGGGACCACCCACACAGCTGGTGGGTCTCGGAATTTTGTAGATTTTAGGAAAATCGTGACAAGCATATGTAACACATTACAGTGCAACTTGACAAGGCCTGGGGAGGTGTCTGTAGTCAAGCAGACAGCTGTGTCTGCAGGGAAAGGCTGGAGCAATCAGGCAAGGTGAGACCCGGCGTGTGCACATCAGGTCGGCCAAGTGAGACCCGGCGTGTGCACGTCCGGTCAGGCAAGTGAGGTCCAGTGAGTGTACGTCCAGTCAGGCAAGAGACCCAGCGTGTGTATGTCCGGTCAGGCAAGTGAAACCCGGGGTGTGCACGTCTGGTTGGCCAAGAGAGACCCGGCGTGTGCACACCCAGCTTCCTGTGTGAGAGACAGCAGAGGGTCACCTGACTTCTGAGCAATTCCTTCTAACGGCTATAGAGGAAGTGAGGCCCCAAGCCCAGTGGCCTGGTCCCAGCCCACCACTCCGAAGCTCTGTGCTCTTGGGAATGTAGGCCATTCAAAAATACACAGAACAAAGTGCCTCCCTGTCCAATTCAGTTAAACCAATTACACTGATTGTGCAATCATCCTCCTGAGCTGTGCCTCCCCCCACATTACCTTACTGCCACTAAGGGTCCTGGCTAATCTTTCAAGTTACTGTCATCAGCTTGGTCCCATACATAGATCTTAAAAGAGCATACTGGTCAAGGCCAACACACTTTACTAGCTAAACTAAGCCACTGTTTATTTTTAAGACTTTAAGGGATATTTTTGTATCCCACCATAGCTCCAGAAAATTTTTTTGATGAATATTTGCAATTCTGTTCTGTATCTTCCCCCTTTTGATCAGTATTCTTCTAAAACATCGTTAATAAAAATTGGGAAATGTTTCTTAACCTCTCTGTGCCTTGGATTCCTCACTTGCCAGGTGAGGCTAAGAGCAGTTACCTTTGTATAGGGCATGAATCCTTCTGCAGCACTTGGAACTTAGAACGCAGCAGACAATCCTGGTCCCTGTGGTAATCGTTGATGTTGTTGCTGTTCTTCAGAGTACTGAGAGCACCATGCAAAGCCGGAAGAAAGATGCAGAGGACAGTGAGGGTGACGACTCTGTGGAGGAAGACGAGGTGGAAGACCTCAGGGGACGGGGACAGGGGCAAGGACTCCACAAGTAGGAGGAGGACACTGCCCCACGGCCACTGGAAGAACAGCTGTCTTTGACCTGGGGGTGCTCTGAGTGAACCCTGGACAGGTCAGGTCCTCAAGGACAGTTGTCCCTCACCCCCTAGGCTCCTCCCGGAACTCTACATGCCTACCGCTATTCCTGGCACACAGTAGGTGTTCAATAAAGGCAGTCTCCACCAGTTTGTGCTCTGTCTTTACGCCTCAGGGCCTGATGTATTTATCCTGTATCAGTGTTGGGGGTGGCACAGCAGTTAAGCACTCAACTACAGGTGGAGAGGCTGGAGGTTACAAGCCACCCAGCAGCCCCTCAGACAGAGGCCTGTATTCAGACCAAAGCCTCAGAACTCTCAGGGCTTTTCTAACTCTATGACACATGGGGTCCTCAGGAGTGGGGTGCCTTAACAGACAACAGCTGGCTTGGTTTTGCTGGTTTTAATGCTGGAAACAGGGACCTGAGGTACACAGTGACCCTGGGACACAGCACATGTCATAGCAGTCCACAGAGATGGGGAAGCAGGAAGAAAAGGTGGTGGGGTACGGGCAGGGGTGTCTGGACCAGGCTGGTTGCCACCTTGGGCTCCTAGGGACGTAGAGGGCAGGTTCAGTGCAGCACTCTGTCCCTACCCCTCTCCACATGGTGACTTAGCGTGGTTGAACTGGTGTTCACATCCCTGGCCCTGGAATTGGATTCTGTACCCAGCACCATGCAGACCCCAAAGTGGGTGAAGGTCACATGTGGTCTTGAGGAGGTCCTGGAAGCGCATTCCTGCAGTGAGACCAGGAAGTCGAGGACGTCCTAGACAGGACTGAATCCTCCAGAGGACACGGAACAGAACAGAAACCTCTTGTCCACTCAGCTCCCCGGGCTGGTCACAGAAGTCTCCATGGTGGGCCTGCTCCAGCTACAGAGGCCAGTCTTTGAGGGCGCCCACACCTGTGGTCAGCCAGCCTCCTCCCTTCTCACTCATAGCCTTGCTTGCTTTCTGGGGACAAAGGCTCACACCCCTCAAAGACCAGCACTCAGCCCAGCTCTGTGACCCCAGAAGAGAGTGTCTCCTCAGGTGATGTAACTGAGAAGTTGGCAAATTATGCACGAAGTCCTTGCCAGTATGTTAAAAACAAAAAATGAAACAGACACGACTCTGTGGTTTTTTAAAGAGAATTTATTTCTTGGGTTTCCACCTCTGACAACCCAAGGTGCAATGTGTATACATATTTTTTCTTCACAGGAAACAGCTTTGATTTTTAGCACTGCTGTGAATTTTTCAACCTTGAAACATTTCACCCCTAGAATAGTCGGCAGAGCATCACTTAGGGGGACACAGAGGTGCGTGAATGTTGTACATAAAATGCCACAGTCACTGAGCCGTAACTCTAAATTACCGGGGAGGCATTATTGGGATGTGACAATGACACGTTTAGAGCCAAGTCAAATGAGGGTGAAGAGAACACACTCCAGATGTCAGAGCCACGCAAAGCTCCACAGACCACAATTGACAACCGGCAGCTGAGAACCACTTCCTGCCGCATCCATGTGTTCTAAAGGCAGTCCGTGCACCGTTCACATGTTCAGCTCACCTTTCCCGAGGTGTCCACCCAGCAACTCTCAGGGAATCTCCAGGCCGGGCTCCTGGTCTCACTGGAGAGCCCCCACCCTCACTGACAGCACAGTGCTGTCACTTCTAAGGGATAGAACGCAGGATTCCTTGAATTGGGATCTTCCTTCCCTTCCAGCTGTCCTGCGGGCTGTGGTCCCAACGCCTGATCCCCTTTCCTTCCAGGCACAGCCCCTTCCCTAATCCCAACTCAGTGTCACTGGGAGAGCATTGATGTACAGGATCCCTCAGGGTGGGAGACCACGAGGAGTGCAGCTTGGGGTGCTCACGGGAAGGCATTTGGAGGTACAGGGCAAATATGAGGGACCTACTTGCTACTGGAAGAAATGGGGTTTCCCCTCTCCAATAGTGACCTCTGGAAGAAGGTAGTCAGTCCCCAAATGATGAACGCACTCCGATCTGAACCCAAGTCAGAGTATTAGGTGTGGTCCACCTCTAACATCAGTCAAATGTTAGTCTTCATACTCCACACAAACTCCCTGCGCCAAGTCTGACTCAGCTCACCCTGCAGCTGGTTTCTGAGATTATAAACTGAACGGCAGGAGACTTCCCAGTGGTCCCCTGTGGTGCAGCGCCTGGATTTGAACTGTCAGAGAAGAGTGGCAAACAGTTTAGCAGCTCAGCTCCTGACGGAGCTCCTTGTCAGAAACATGTCTAAGTACACTAACCCCTCTCCAACTTCATAACAGAATAATGGTAACAGGGCTGCTTGGACGTGTGCAGCACAGAGGTGGTCTGACACGATGACCCATTGTAGGGAGACGGAATTTTTAATGCAATCAGCTCTTCAGGAGTGGTTTGCAATTACACCTGTACCTCAGCTGGGCTGCTGTAAGCCGGAGTGCCTGTAATGGTTATGGTATCAGGACTGCGACCAGCAGTAACAGTAGCCTGGCGTCGGCGTCCCCGTGAGGACTGGCCCCATGTGAGCCCTGTAGACACCCGAGTCCCTCAGATACCATGGTGGTTAGCAGGGCCCCGTCCTGAGCTTGCCCTCAACTCCTCTTCAGAGCTCCCAGACTGGCCAAATTGGGGGTGCTGGGCTGCACCTAAGTGAGGCCGCTGTGGCTCCCTGTCCCCAGGGGGACAGAGCAGGCCGTGGGGCTCTTCCTACTTGTACTTGCGGACTCTGGGCTAGCTCATGGGGTACTGTACCCCCACAGTACAAGATAACTTCCCATGCTTAGCAAGGGCACCCAGCTTCTGAGTCAGTGAGTCACCAGTGCTGAGAAGGGACTATGCGAGCTGGACAACAGGAAGGCTGCCTGGGGAGGCGGTCTCGCAGCGGGTGACAGCAAGCCTGTTCTGGTAGCTGTCTGAACATGGAACCCCATCAATCAGCGGCACTTCCGGTAAAATGGGAGTGTCTCCCCTTTGCTGTAAACTACTGAAAGCTCTCTAAGTGGACCATGGCTCCAGAAACCACAAACCTGAACAAGTAGTTGACAGGAACGATGTAGGTGCGACCCAGAATCACAAGATGAAGAGCTAGATGGACGCGAGGAGGCAGCTAGACCCTGCGGCTGAGGGCAGAGGCCTGCCTGAGACCACCCACCTGCCCTGCGGCCGGCCTCTGCCCTTCCTGAAACCTCCCTTCTCCCATCTGACAGGGACCTCTACCTGTATGTCCTCGTTTCCCAAGCCCTGTCCTGTTCCCTTGGTTCCTCGTTATCTGCAGCCCGAGGGAATCCATTAATCAAGTGACCTGACCACTCGGGTCAACTAGTCCTCGCACTGCAGCACCCACAAAGGCCAAACTTGTGGCTCATGGCCCTGAACGTCTGGGAAAGGTGCCTTCAGACCAGAACCTTCTGTAAACTCCATGGGGATGTGGACTCAGGGTACTTGGGAAGGGAACCACAGACCACTGTCCCCAGAGCAGCAGAACCCTGACCTCTACCTCTGTCCTTGTGAATGGTCTCCCCTGTGTAGGGCTGGGAGAAGCGACTTGGACAGATCCTCAGGAGAAGAGGGGAACAAGGCAGTGAGTGGGGCTGACAGGTAGTGCCTCTGCGTGGGGTGTGCTCCTCGAAACAACCTGAGCATCTAGGGTTCTGGACCACCTGCCAGCCCCTCGTTATTAACTCCGGAGCTTGGTGGTCCACTTGTTTTTTCTTATGTCAATAAGAGTATCATAGTCTGCTCCACTGCATTGTGCAAATACACACACACACGCATGCACACGCAATCTGGACAGCAATGCAGGCCCCTAATTAGCCATCTATCAATAGCACTAAAAACCACAGCGAAGGCTAAAGTATGCCACGGCTCAACGCAGAACTGGTTTCAAAGCAGGAAACTTCCCAGTGGAGAGGATCATTTGGCTTGCTGGGGTCTGAGCCCACTGAGGACAGGCCTTCAGAGTTCCAGCGGGGCCTGGGCCAGCACTCCTAGAGGTGGAAAGGTCCCTGCTTGGAGACATCTGATGCTTCCTACTGCAAGGGCATGGATCTCTGTGATGTGGGCTTGTCGCTTCCACAGTGAGTGGGCAGGGCTGCGGGAACAAGGTCTAATCCTAATGAGGAGACTGGTCAGTTCTGCCACCTCACTGGCCTTAAAATAGAGTCCTCCAAGAGTAGCAGGGGAGACCTCATCATCATCATCAAGAAGAGAGACAGGAGTGGAGTGGAGCTGGTGCTTTGAACTCAGGGCCCCCATGCTGATGACCTCCTGGACCCACGAGACTGAGGTACAGAAAGGGCTGTAAGCCCAGACAGGGTGCAAGACAAAAGGAAATGGCAGCAGAGAGATGACAGCAGCGGAACTAGGAGGGTGGCACCGGACAGCTCGGTGGGCCTCCCAGGCACAGAGCAAGACGCTACAGTGAGGGTGCAGCATGAGGCGAGATCCGGGTGCCCTGAGGCAAGGCTTGCCGTGCAGTGGGGTGTCCCATAGGCAGCACTATGGCTCCCACAGACCTCTTCCCATGCCAGACCACACTGAACCCGTAGTAATGCTTCTGTACTAAAATGACTAATAAACGATAATTCTCATACAGCGTGTAATTGCAATAGAAGTGACATGCAAAACTAGAAAAACGAAAACCACACCTTTACAACACCATGCACAAAGCCTAAATGTTTTTACACTTGCAGAGTGTAGTGTTGTGGGAGTGAAAATTTGGTAAGAAAACAATGGAATTAAAAAGAAAATAAAAATTCTGTTCATTTACTGTTACACTTTACCATCACTAACTCAGAACAACAAATTAGGTTTGCACGATCAATAATGAGTCAAATAAGATAGACAGGGATCCTCTGAAGGGAACTGTAAAAAGAATAAAAATTTTAAAAGCAGAATTCAAGATATCAGTTCTACTTCTAAACATGAATCAAGAAACATAGCATTTCTCCACTTCATGTTTTAAACTATCAATTTCTCTACTAAGTTATCAAAAGGCTATACCTATTGTTATTGCACGTATAAGTTGTTAATCATAGAATATGTGATAGATAAAACTGCAAACTGCTTCAATGTAGTATCTCTTGGAGTATATGAATACTAGCAACAAAATTGTTTCATAAAATCTTTCTACACTTATATTAGTAACAGAGTGATCTAATGGAAGTCTTTTTTAAAAAACTTTTATCCTTTTCCCTTTTATTCCTATTTCATTCTCAAAAAAAGTTTCTTATTTGGGGTCATAAACACTGTTTACTCCACTATTGTAGCTAAAATAGCAGAGCATTTGACAAGATCAGTGGCTCTACAGAGCAGCAGAAACAAACGCAGTATGAGCCTGGACTGGTGCAGACGGAACCATGGCTCCAAGTGTCGCTGTGACGGGGCCGTGGCGACTCACTCACTGCCGAGAGCCAGGACTCGCTCACACCTGACCCTCCCACGGGGTTCACAGCCTGGAGCTGCATGGGAGGGGACCGCCCATCTTTTTCCATGGAGCAGCTGCTGGACTCAAACTGTGTGTCTTCTAGATTGGGCAGTGCACGTCTTACCCTCTGGGCCACCCGTGCTCCCATTAGAAGGCTCCAAAAGTAAATTAGCATGGAGTATCAGCTTTAGAAGCATACCGATACATACAAGCTAAGCTTGATCAATAGGAAGAACACTGTTGTTGTTTAACTACTGGTGTATTTATATAGATAAATTAGTTTCTGCTGAAGCATTGCACAAGAATCTTCTAGATGGCTGTTTTGGTGTGAGCCCCTGATAGTGTCACTGGTGTGGCCCACACCCCTGTACTCCCCTATGACACCAGAGGGGTCACTGGGCACTTATTGGTGGAGCTGAAGAGCTTTCTAACACACTTGCCTGAGTGGGGCAGAGGCTGGACCAAGGGCCCAAAGGCTCCAGGGACACGTGCCTGCTGGTACCACTAACAGTGGTCCTGATAAAAGAATTGTATCCTGAGTCATCCCTGACCCCATACTGTAACCTGTTATGCCCCTAATGAGACTCGCCCTGCCCCCACCATGGGGGCTGAGCTCTCGGTGGCAGCTTTCCCACCTGGGGCTGAACAAAGAGGTAACACTTCCTGGGGTCAGATCCACTTCATTCTTTAGAAGCTTCCAAACAAGGAGAGAGAAGCAGAGAACCAAGGAAAACCTTTCTTCTACTTTAAATTGCTATTTCAAGAGTCTCACAGGAAGAACAAAAAAAGGATCAAGATTACATTTGAAATATGTATAATGCCTGCACGGAAAACCAACTGGTTCTGTAAACTTTCACTCAAAGCACATAAAAAACAAACACCACCACACACCACACTTGAATGTCAGAATTTGCCTTAAAGCGCTGGGGAAAGCAGGAAGAAACAGTGTACTTCCTTTGAAAAGCTGCACTGGCCAGTCTAGGTCATCCCGAGGGGGTGGAAACCAGGCTTCCTGCACCCCTCAACCTGGCACTCTCTCTCTCTCAACTCGAAACCAGACCTAATCAAAATATACATAGAAGAATCTGATATCTACAAGGGCAAGTCTTTGGGCACCTTAAATGCATCTTAGTAACTGCTCTAAGGAACTACTCAGAGGGCCACTGTCCGCTCCAAGGGCCGTGACAGCATGGACTGGTCCCCAAGTTTACATAAGAGGGGCTAGTGGGGGACACCTGGGGAGGGGTAAATGTCTTCTGAGGAGGCACTGGAGAATAGGGGCCTGTACACCCACCAGCTTGCCACTGTGTCTTTAAAACCCATGTGTGGAGACAGCAAGATTCTGTGCCTCAAGGTGAGGCCCCTGTGAAATCTGTCCACCCGCAAAAACACACGGCCACCACTGTTTTGTGGCATCACACAGGGGCTGGGAATAGATGCACACGAGGCCCAGGTTGTGGACAAGGGCCTCCCTGCCCCTGCAGCCAGCCTCATGAAGGGCAGGCAGCATCCTTTGATCATTCTCTGATCTGAAGAGTGTGTTCAGATCAGCAGTCCTTCACTTCACCAACCATGCCAAACGTGCACTCCAGGGTGCCCCCAATTCCAGCTCCTCCCATGAGCTCCGGCTGGGTAAGGAAGGGAGCGCACACGTATCACCGTGCTCACTGACGAAATAGTAATTTAATGTGATTGAGAGCGCAGGAGGCAGGAGGCAGGGAGGAGGAAGCCTTGTCGAAGGTTGCGCAGGGCAGCAGGTGGAGTGGAGAGCGGGCCATCTGCCTGCCGGCTTGCTCTGGTGCAGCCAGGGGTCCAGTAAAGGCTGAAAGCTGTCCAGCGTAGCCATGCCGGCAGGAGGTGGCAGCTGGACGGGCCCAGTGCTCAGATGAGAAGGCCTCAGCCTGTACCCTCCGTGGGCCTGCTTAGTCATGGCACCCTGTGTGTGGTCCTCTCATCCATTCTTGAGGATAGAGCAGCCCTGTGGACTCTGGACGGGCACTACGTGACGAGACCTTGGTCCTGGGACTCCTGCGCTGGACTCCTGCACTGGACAGCTCACACAGCACTTCCTGGAGAGCTGCAGATTCTCTCAGTCCCTGAGGACGTGGGTCCCGTCCTGTCTGGTGCCTGTGGCTCTGCTCACACAGCCCATGAGGGGCAGGTCCCTCTGAAGCAGAAGGTTTTCTCCCCTGTGAGTCCTGTGACTGCTCTCTGTCCTGGCACCCTTTCCCCATCACCCCAGGGTTCTGTGAAGCAGTGAGTCGGCATCCAAGGTGGGGTCCTCGTCTTCAGCCATGACGGACAACGCCCCACATGACCCTTCCAGCTCATTCTCGTCCATCTCCTGAGCCCACCAGTCCCCTCCTGGCACAGTCTTTCCAGCCAGTGGTCAGTAGCAGGCCTGGGCAGCACGCCTTCCGCTCCCCGTCACCTCATCAGGCTGATGCTTGGGACAGTCACGAGGCATTAGAGTGCAAGGGGCGCACTGGCACGTGGACGGGAGCAGACACAGGCAGAGGGAGGCATCATGGCCTCCAGGTTCTTCTATCGGCTAGTGTGGGGCAGAGGGGGCTCCGGGTGCTGCTGATGTCATGCAGGGTTACTGAGGCTGACAGCCAGTCGCTGGGCCCGGGAGAGTCCTCTGTGGTGGGAGCCGCGGGGCGGCCTCCTGTGGTTACTCTGTGGCCATCTGCTCGATGTGGTCACTGAGCAGCTTGTACTGCTCTGGAAGAGAAAAGAGCATTAATTCTCGGGAGGAAGCGTGCTGGCGGCCAGGCCTGGCCTGTTCCCTCAACAAGAGCCTCTGGATATGAGGACCCCCACAGGAGGGTGTGCAGTATCTCACTCCATCACACTGCTCCCCTCAACACCCCAGCACCCGGTCTACCAAGCACCAGGAGTGGGTTGAGCCACAAATGCCGGAGGTTATGCAGAGCTTCCCCCACACCAATTATGACACGGTGGAGGCAGCAAACTCCTCCACTGGGTGCCTGGGGGTCAGGTGATGTCACAGCAGCATCACCCACTCCTGTGGGGTCCATTTAGATTCAGAGTGGTCTTGCGGGGCAGAGAACTACCCTGCAGGGTCCCAAGGCTTTCATTTCTACAGGACAGACTGCCCATCTTTCTCTCACAGAGCGGCTAGTGGGGGTGCAAAGCAGTGACTTTTGGGTCAGCAGCTGGGTGGGCTCCTTTACACAGGACAATGCTAACATGGAGAGATTTTCTGCATCTGTGCCCATCAAGGTGACTGCCCCCAGCCTTCACTCTCGACGTGCTTCTGTTGTCACGGCAGAGGAGTCACAACTTGGTCTGCCTGCGGTGCTGATCCGGATGCCTCAGAGCCCTGCAGGACAGAGTAGAACTGCCACAGAGCACTTCCAAGGCCGTGAGTCTGTCCAGAGCAGATGGCCACATCTTCCTCTCACGGAGCAGCTGGTGGGTTTGCATCTTTGACCTGTTCGCAGCCAAGCACTTTGTCCACTGTCCTGCCAGAGCCCCTCATTAGACATTAAGTGGATGCAAATCAAAGTCACAGTGAGATAACAAGGTACCCTTCTTGCTACCCCTGTTAAAACAGCAACGATTACAAACAACCAAAGAGCAAACAACAAGTTCAGGTGAGGTTGTTGATAATGGATGGGAATGTGAAGCGGAACAGCTCAGGGGAAGATGATCAGGCGGGTCCTCAGTAAGCAGAACACGGACTGCACCATATGCCCAGCAGCGCCCACCGTCGGTGTGCACGGGGAGAAGCGGAGGCAGGAATGCAAACAGAGCCCTGGGCACCACCTTCACTGCAGCGCTTCCCACAGGAGTCACGAGGGAGAAACGTTATCAACAGAAGAACGGGTAAGAAAACGCGGACTAGACACACACAATGGAATACCAGCCAGCTGCAAAGGGGGACACATCATGATGCCTGTCACGGCCCCAACCCTGGACACATCCTGCGGGTGAAGCCAGCCAGCTGCTAAAGCACAAACACTGTCTGCCCTCATGGACGAAAGCAGCAGACACCGACACACGGAAACCAATGAGCGGGCAGGCAGAGGGGGAAGAGAACACGGAGGCTTGGCTGGAGGCGGTGGGACCAAGTTCAGAAAGGCTCACGGGAACGGCCATGCACCACGAGGAGGGCAACCTGTCCCTGAATTGCATGTGGAGGGAATGCTGATGTGGTGGCTGTTTTGCTGCATGTGTTCCCCTAGTTCCCACACACCCCCTGTGGAGGGCAGGTCTCCCCTGCACGCACAGCACTGCCACGGGCTGGGGTCAGCTGCAGCACTGGTTTGGTTTGGGTGGACTGGAACTTATAAAGGAAGGGCACCTTGCATGGATTTGGGAGGCTGGGCTCAGTGACGGGCTCCTTTAGTTGGACAGTCAGAGATGCTATCCCCAGAGGGCGTCTCCATAGGGAGACTCAAGAACTGAAGGGGCCACTCACAAGGAGGGGGAACTCATGGCCAGAGCTTGACCACTTACAAGGTCACCATCTGAGCCTGAACTGCCTGGGATTTTACCTTGGGCATCGTTTGTAAACATGGATGAAGCACCTCCCACCCCAGCAATCTTATCTAGCCAAAATGGTTTTTCAGAAAGAATTAAAAGCATCTCCAGTATCTAAGTAGACTTAGGAAAAGGGAGGAGTCATGAGCAGCTAAGAGGTGCCTAGGAAGAAAGGCCTGGTGACCTACACCCAGATCAGCCACTGAGGACCCATGGAGCACAGTTCTCCTCCACACCTGCGTCACCATGACTCGATAGTAACCGGTGCAGGTAGGAAAAGAGGTGTGAACCAGGACCCTCGAGATCGTTCTGACACTTCTAGTTGGAGTAGGAGCCCCACTTCCAGCAGGGTGGGAGACCCTGTGTGGACAGCAGCTGCCTCTGCAATCCTAGCCTGCCTCCCACCCTGACCACGTCCTCACCTTCGTCCAGGTTCCCGATCACGGCCTGCTTCTTCAGAAAGTCATTGCACAGCTTCTTGTTCAGCCCAAAGGCCAGCATGTTGTGCGTGAATGTGCTGGGGAAATAGTACCAGGGTCACCTTCGTGCCTGAAAGGCAGGGGCCAGGAAGCTGGGTCCCTTCCTCCCTGGCACCCAACACCCACCATTATTAGCAACAAATGAAAAGAAACAGCTAATTAGCCAGTGCACTGCCTGCACGCGACCTAGCTGCCACCAAGCGCAGCGTGGGGAGGCTGCAGTAAATAGGAGGCAGAACTGGGGCCAGTGTGACCAGGCCCACAGGGGACTGTGACACTGTCCCAGGGCGCTTCCTCCAGAGGACTGCTGACTCACAAGGAGTGAGGGCCCCTGTCCTGGGGGACTCTGCAGAGGGGCTCCCGTGCCCGAGCGTGGCTCCTAGGAAGCCCCATTAGTGGCCCATACCCCACCAAGATGGGCCCCAGTGCAGGTGCCTCGTGCTGCCCGCCAGGACGCTAGCCCAGGCCAGGGCTGCCTGCGGTCTCTCCAGCCCTTACCCCAGCTGCCCAAAGGTGATGTTCTCATTGAAGCGCAGGCTGTCGTCTCGCTCCTCCTGGGTCATGTGGCACCACTTCTCCCTGCAGACACAGGAGGGAGAACCTGTGGAGCGTGCCTCTGCGTCCACCACTCCCCCGGCCCGTCCACAGGTGGAACCACCACATGGGCAGGGCTGGGGCACAGAGAACCAATCTGACATTTTGTCCAAGGGCTGAGACTCATATTTCCTTCCTCTTTCTGAGACGCAGAGTTCCAGACGGCAGCGTGTTTGTACATCACTGGACAGAAGCTGCTTTGGACACCATCAGCTGTGTCTTTATGGTGATGTGCTCACTTCACAGAGGAGAGGAGCCTGGCCTGGGCACGGTGACTGGGTAGGGAACCTGGGACAGGGTGCTGGCCTCCCTGTGTCTCCAGGCTGCACTGGCTCTGTAGTGGTCTTGCTGTGTGGTCACGTGCTGTACCTTGGGGCCCACTGCAGGATGGGGGACCTTGAGTTGGAGTGGTGGGGGTTATCTAGCAGCCTCTGTGGACCACATTGCCTTTCTCTAAGCAGAGGCCTCTGCTCTTCTCTGCCAGGGCCGCCCTACCACCCTGCTCTTCTAGCCCTAGTAACTGGGGCCCCACACCTCCTGCGAGGCCTCTCTGGAATGATCTGGGAGGCTCGAGAGCCCCAACTGAGCGATGGATGGCTTCTGCCAGGCACTGTGGTGGAAAGCCCTCACAGGGAGACTAGACTCTGCAGAGCGGGTGTGGTGGATGTGGGGTTGTGAGGCCTCAGGGTGCATGTACCTTTCTCAGGCTTAGAAGGAGCATTGCAAACCCTCAATGTTTCCCAAGGAGGAAGGCTCCTGCTCTGAGCGACAGACCTGCCCATCAGACATGGCTCTAAACCAGCTCAAAGGGGAGTGTTCTCTCCTCCCACCCTCCCTCAGCACTGCAGACCGTCCTCACTTGGGAACCTTCCTTACTCTAACGACAAACCCCAGGCCCCTGGGAGCCCAGGACGTGCCGTCTGTGTAGACACTGAAGCTCATTTTAGCCCATTTAAATGAAACTCTGCATGGGTGAGGCTAACTGAAAAAAGAAAAAAAGGTGAAGAGAAAGATAAAAGAAAAGTGAGAGAAGAAAGAGAGAGGGAGTGAGAGGCTGGGGATGATGAAGCCAGAGGAAGAGAAACAAAACAAAAGAACATAAATTCTGAACTCCTCTCCACCCTGGGTCCCATAGGACATGAGTGGTGCTGCTGCAGCCTCCTGGGGGCCCAGGGCATCAGGGAGAGGCAGTGGGGGTGCCACTGCCACTCTTGTCATGCTAATGACATGACAATGCGTGAAAATACCCAGTCTGTATCCAGGGCCTCTGCCAACTTCCCTCGTGTGCCCTCCTCAGCCTCTGCACCCACCATCCCTTCAGGATTGGACAGGCGCACACCCTCCCCACCTCATTGTGGATGCTGTGCGGGGGGTGTACACGCTCCCCACATCACTGTGGACGCTGTACAGGGGGTGTACAGACTCCCCACACTGTCACTGTGGACGCTGTACACGGGGTGTACACACTGCTGAAGGGGAACTATGGATGTGGCCAGCCAACAGCTTTTTGAAAGGGAAACCTGACCCAGAGATTCATGAAAAGCATGCAGCTCTCTGCAAGTATTACTCAAAAAGATCAGTTAGGCTGGAGCCGGCCTAGGGGTCGGGCTCACTCCCTCCCCACCCTACTCCCACCTCTGTTGAAGGGACTCGGATCTGGCCCAGGGCACTCGTGGACGTCTCCAGGCAGCTGTGGAGACTGCACTGGGCGGTGTGTGGTCAGGCAGCTTCTGCTCTCAGGACAGGAGGCCTTTGAGGCCCAAACAACCCCTCCTGGCAGCAGCCCAACCAGCCTTTGGGGTCAAAGTGAACTCTACTAAGAAATTTTGCTCTTGGCTAATGGTTCATCTCAGTACCACTCAGGAATATTCCAAGGATGGGGGACGTTTGGAAAGGATATATTTATTATACATAAATGTTCCCTTGGAAAACACACCATAGTTAGGACTACACAAGAGGGAACCCCACCGAACCAAGCCAGCCCAATGCTGTTGAGTCACTTCTGACTCAAGGTGAACCTCTATCAGTTCCCAACGCCGTAACTCTTAGTCCTCATCTTTCTTCCATGGAGTGGCTGGTGGCTTTGAACTGCTAACCTGGCAGTTCAACACACAATGTACTATGCTATTGGGACTTTTCTTAAGTAAAATTAAGCATAAATACATCACCAGTTATGAGAGACATGAGTCACAAAACTGTCACTGGGAAAAAAGAATCATTGCATTAGAAGCCATAATTGGAACTGGCAGATCTCGAGAAGAGAAGCCTTGGTGGCTCAATGGTTAAAGCACTAGGCTGCTACTCAGAAGGTGAGAGTTTGACTCTACCAGCCGTTCCTCAGAAGGATGAGGCAGTCTCTCCCATAGCGACCATGGAAACCCCGGGGGCAGCTGTACTCCACCCCTTCCAGTCACTACAGTAACTTGACAGCAGTGGGTCTGGTTTAACTCTGAAAACTGGAACAAAGCTTAGCCAAGTGGGAGGCTAAGCTCGGAGTCTGACAGCAGCGGAAAACGAGCGTCCCCCCACTGTGAACCATGTGGACTGGTGCTGGGTATTTTTTCTGCCCCTGTGAAGGACAGACTCTGTGAAGGATGAGGCCCTGGTACCCATGTTCTTGGCATCTTAAACAAGAGCCAAGTGACATTAGTTAAACACGGTGAGCGGGCTCCTGCCCCACTAACATGTCAGAATTCAACATCGCTTGAAGATCCACTTTAACAGTTCGCTTTCCTTGTCCCATCTAGGAGGTCAGGGTCCTAACGGAGACCACAGAGGAACTGTGTGCACGTGCGGGGCCCAGTGAGCAGAGCGGGCAGTTAAAGAGCCATTTTTACACTGTGATATAAATACATGCATTTTTAGTAGTGTGAGTTCTTGTCCCGTTTCCTCTATTAATTTCTTACCAAGACCTTAGCTCTAAACAATAATTAAAAAACACCTCAACATGCAATGCCCACGCTACCTTCATGTCTTTCAACGCTGGCTTGGTCCACGTGGGCAAACGCACAATTTGAAAGCCTCTACCATCGAGGTATCAAGCCCTCCGCCCACAGGGCAGCCAGCCCCCACTGTGGGCATACAGGACATGCTTTCTAGGACCTTGTCTTGAAAGGAGACCCCCCCCTTCCCCAATAAACCCCACACACCACCACCTGGCTGGAAGAAAGGAGCAGTCTTCCCCCGTCTCATCTCCTCCTCTGACCCCGCCCTGACTGTGAGAGCAGAGGCCGAGGTGGGACTGTGAGGACTGCCTGAGAAGGGCTGAGGGCATAACTCTCTGGAATCTGAGCAGACATCCCCGCCCCATCTTATTTGCTCCCCTCTGAGCCCTACTAGATTTCCTATTAGTGCTCCAAGAGCCAAACATGATTTCTGACTATTTCCAGGGACTCTGGACTTGGGGGGGGGTCCCCACCCTCCACAGCCACTGGGATGGCGTCCCAGGGACACTGGTTTGGCGAGATGCACCTGATGCCCATGCTTGGGCCCCGCCTCATGTGGCCGTCAGTGGCCCCAGCACTGTAAAATAGAACGAAGTCACGGACACACACACCTCTTGTCCTCCTCCTCTCCAGCCTTCCCTCTGGAGCGGCAGCAGAAACAGGTAAACAGAGAACATGTCAAAGTCATGCAAGGTATGTGGATGGGAAAGAGAACAGGTGGGAAGCAAGAGCATCGTAGCAAGGCAAGAGACAGAGGGAGACAGGGCCGAGGTCGGCTAGCTTCCTACGGGGGCCTCGGGGACCCGCCTCTCATCCTGCAGAGTGCACCCTCTCCTTCTCTCTCTCCAATTCCCTGGGATGGGGTCTCAGTGTCTCTCCCTCCCAACTCCTCATCTGCACGAAAGTATTCCATGCTCCTCAAAAGGAAGAGTTCCCTTTAGATCCCCACAAACACTGGCATCCTAAGGGCCTAATGGGAAGTCAGTCATTGTCCCTTTGTCTCTGCTGGGAGAAGGATGAACAGAGTGGCCACAGGGGGAAAAGGCATCCGTTTCCTAACAGGGAAACAGAGGAGCTTCGAGGTTGAGAGCCTCTTCCCAGTCACAGGGCAGGCAGGACCAGGACCAGGGTGGTCCCACTCAGCCAGCTTCTCCCATGAGGGGGCTGCTGCTCCTTCACTCACTGTCCTTCCTGGTGGCCAGCCCACTCCCTGCTGCCACACGCTCTCTGGAGAGGGCTTGCTGGCATGTCCACCGTGTTCCCTGGAGAGCAAATCTGGGGTGGCCACCTGTACCATCCCCCCACCGCCTTCACACACAATGGTTCTGCTGCAGGGGCTTCCTCAGGAGTAAGCAGGGGGCTGAGGGGCCTGGCAGCCCATTCATAGGGAGTGTGCATTTCCCAGGTGGAGTCATGCCAGTGCCCAGGACAGAAAGCGCTCATGCAAGCGACCCCCCACCCGCTGTGAGTGCCCAGGACCCTCAGGCAGCTTGCGGGCACCGGGGCTAAGGCGGACTAAGGAGATAGAAGGCATCGACTCAGCCATCCTGCTTCCTCTTCAGCAACAGGCAGCTAGCTAGAGGCACGCCCCGTCCTCATCCCTGCGGCCAGGTGGGCCAGTGCGTGGCTCCTACCTGGTGGTGGGAGACCGCTTTCTCCTCTCACAATGGACAGCATCGAAGAAGGCTGCGTTCCAGAACCTCAGGGTGTGCCTAAGGAGAGAGGCAGGAGGGACATGGGCGTCAGGCCATGTCTGCACGATGGCCGACCAGGCAGGAGGTGCTTTACCTGGAATGGCGACCCCTGGGACTCCACGCACAGGGTACAGAAGGGAAAACACAACTAAGGCAGAAAAGGTGCATGAGGATGAGAAGTAGTAAAGCCCGAGATCACTGGGCAGGGACTGAGGATCTCGAGGAGGAAGAAGAGGGTCTGGGAGGCTTGGGTGTCATCAACTTAAGAGGCAGAGAAAGAACACGTTTACAGGGACACAGTGGGAAGACCAACTCCTGAAGCTCAAGGCCTGGCCAACCAGATCTGGCAATCGGGTTTCTGCACACATCTCACTGGACACTGCTGTGAACATTCATTCACACACTGTCTGTGGCTGCTCTGGGGCCACTGTGACAGAGGTCAAAGTGTGACTGAGACCACACGGCCTCCTAGGCCTGACTTAGCTACTCTGGCTCTTTACAGGAAAGCTTCCCAGTCCCTGTTCAAGACGCTGAGACAAAGGCACGGCCCCGGGCTGGGGAAGCCAGGCTGAATCTCTACACACTCCGTGGGGCTGGGCCCTCCTTCTCTGTCCCTGCTTGCGCCCAGTTCCAGGGTTACCACCTCCTCAGTCTTCCTGGCAGCTCCTAAACTCTGGGAGCCCTTCCCACGGGCCCCTGGTATGGTCAGTTCTACCACAGCTGGACTGGGCTCTGCAAAGCAGGGACTGTGTGACACCCGCTGGATCCCAGGAACTGGCGCACTCAGTGTCCAATGTGACTGTCATGGTTTAGGAGGCCAGGAGTCTAACCCAGGCTGCTGGCTCTAAGGGACACTTTCTTCTTTCTGTGCCAGCTCTCAGCTCTGTCTCTTCAGCTGGTTTGCTGGTTCCTGGGCGTCCTCCATGAGGCAGGGCGCCAATCTAGCCCCACCTCTGCTTCTTCCACTGGCTTATCTCAACGCTTATATTTCAAAAGGGGAGCTCTCTTGACCCGGTCCCAGGGAGGTGTGCTGCAAACCCAAAGGTGGCACCTTCCTCGGGGTTCAAATCCACTAGCCAGTCCTGAGAAGAAAGATGGACAATCTCTTCCTGTTAGCTCACAGCCTCAGAAACCACATGGAGGGTCAGCTATGGGCTGGTTCAACTCTGTGGGAATGAGGCAAACTTACTCAAACAAGAGACTGACTCAGGATACGCACTACACTAATCTCATCTCCTTAGTGGAACAATCTCGCCCCAATGTGGTGACAAGCACAGGCATTCACGAATTCATCTTCATTGCCAACACGAGGCTGGTTCTAGCTCAGAGCTGCTGCTCGGCTGGGTTTCCACAGCTGTAAATTGCACGGGAGGAGATCGCCAGGCCTTCTTTCTCCAGAGGAGCTGCTGGTAAATTCAAATGAGGTGCTGGGTCACATCTCAACCGCTCCCTTTCTAAGTGTTTTCAGTACAGTGATAGTGCTGTAGAAGCCTCACCACTTTCTACTTCCAGAACATTGTCAGCACCAAAGGAATAAATGCATGTGTTCACTAGCAGGCACCCCTCAGCCCCGGCCTCCATCCCGGGCCCTGGCAGCCACCAGCCGACTCCCAGCCTCTCCGGGTTTGCTGTTCTGGCTTTCTCTGACCAGCTGGGGCCCTCTGTGTCTGCTTTGTTCCACTCAGATAATGCTTTCAGGATGCATCATACTGTAGCATGTATCATAACACATTTCTTTCTATGGCCATGCAGTGACGCATGATTGTTGTTATGTACCGTACAGACGGAACCGACCCACAGCTGACCCTCCGGTGGGTTTTCAGGGGCAGTAAAATGCCTAGGAGGACACTGCCCACCCCGTCCTGCGTAGCAGCTCATGAATGTGAACTGTGTGCCTCTAGGTTAGCAGCGTGTCTCCTTCCCATGAGGCCACCAGAGCTCCCTATTGTATTAAAAGACATGGAATGACTCATCAGTTGGCCATGCTGGTTGTTTCTGCATTTAGGGTGGTGTGAACAATGCTGCTGTGGACATACAGTTTCCTCTCCCGTGGGTATGACCCTGGGGTGAGAGTGCCCCCCACATGGAACCTCACATTCTGTCAGCTGAGGCACTGCCCGACTCCTTTCCACAGAGGCTATACCGTTTCACAATCCTACCAGCAATGTAAGACGTCCAGGTGCCCTCAACTGTGTCAACTCTAGTCATCGCTCATCTACCGTCAGCCATCCCCACAGAAGTGCAGGCCTTCATTTTTATGGGAACAGAAGAGCTAGGATGTGAGCTTCGGAATGCGGCTTGCTGCCCTGCAGGTAGGCAGGATGGAAAAGCACTGGCCAGGGCTTACCAAATGGGCTGCTGCTTCAGGTGCGTGTACAGGTAGATCTTCTCCCCCTTCCTCTCCTCCTCTGGGCTGTACACAGTCACTGTGGGACGAGGGAGAGGTTGAGGGGCCTCTGACATGTGCTCACATGCTAATAACCCCATGGCCCCAGCCTCCCAGTAGTCATTCCTTCTTCCCCAAGTCAAAACAAGGTCACAAAAACACATCATTGAAATTCTGCAGCGGCTCCACAGGAGAAAGTCGGGCAGCCACCTCCCACATGATTTAAAGCCTCAGAAAGCACTGGAGGGCTGGCTGTGAGCTGGTTCTCACTCAACGGCAAACAGCTTGAGTCTGAACATCCCACGCAGCTTCCGTGCCTCAGACAGCGGTTCTGTCAACAGAGGCTTCTTCCCAGGGTGGCTGTGGGGATGGTGGGCCTCCCACCCAGTCCCGCTCGACTAGAAAAGCTGTTCCTCCACAGAAACACAGAACGGTCCTCCTGACTTACCGCTGAGCGCTTAGCACCCATGTACGAGCCCTGGTCATAAGGACCCAGACCACTCTGGGTGCTCGAGGTTAACAAGTGCATGTGCCAGGAAAAGCACTGCCTCCCTCCCTGGGGCCGGGGAATGTGGAGGGACATTAGCACGCAAGGCTCCGCTCACCTGTCTTCTGCTGCTTCTCCTTGGGTTTGCTGTCATCTTCCCTGAGGGAGAGAAACCACAGCAATGAGAAATCTGCCCACATCAACGAGCTCAAATTGTGTTTTCTCGTCCAGGAAACCTGTTTATGTCTCTGAGACTGGACTTTGTCTGACAGGCCAAATATCCAGGTAATGTGGTTTTCTCTGAAAGATACCTGTCCATGGCCAGTTTGTAGATTTAAAAAAAAAATTATTTTATTATTATTTTTTATATTTATTTTATTTTATTATTTTTGTGTGCGTGTACCATCAAATCAGATCTGACTGGTACAGGAGGAGATTGCCCCTCCTTCCCCGGCAGAGCATCTGGTGGATTCGAACCGTGCGCCTCTGTGATTGTAGTTGCAGCTCCTTGCCACTAGGCCACCAGAGCTCCCCTTATTTTATTATTTTTTGTGGTGTGTACCATCAAATCAGATCTGACTGGTACAGGAGGAGACTGTCCCTCCTTCTCCAGCAGAGCATCTGGTGGATTCAAACCACACGCCTCTGGGATTGCAGTGCAGCTTCTTGCCACTAGGCCACCAGAGCTCCCTTAGTTTGCAGATTTTGAGACGCGGGGCTCAGTTCCCCTCACTTCAAACTCTGGTATGTGCATAATTCTGCGCCATTCCCCACGTTCAGCCCGGTCAACACCTGGTCATTTCTGGTATTTTCCAATCACTCCCCACCTCCCCTCTCCCAAGTCCCTGCTAACTGCTATTCTACTCTGGTCTCTGTATTTGCCTGTCAACACATTATGGACAACACAGGGCTTGTTTTTGTATCTGGTTTGTTTCATTTAACCTCATATTTTTTTAAAACTTTTAAATTTTATTTTGTTATTTTGTGTGTGTACCATCAAATCGGATCTGACTGGTACAGGAGGAGATTGTTCCTCCTTCTCTAGCAGAGCATCTGGTGGATTTGAACTGCACACCTCTAGGATTGCAGTGCAGCTTCTTGCCACTAGGCCACCAGAGCTCGCCTTAACCTCCTATTTTTAAGGTAATTAAACTATTTTGTACTTAAGCTTCATTGCACCATTCTCTCTGAATCCAAACTGTACAGCCCAGAAGAGGCATAAGCCAGGTCAGCCAAGCTGTCCCAGTCACTGGTGGTGACCGAGAGGGCCAGGGTAGCCCCCCAGGACTCTGAGGCTGAGGGTCCAATCTGGCTGGCACTTGTTTCCTCCTGTTTAGTCTTGATCTCACACCACGCTTTCATAGGCTGCCCCAATGTCCGCATGGGAGCTGCTGTCCCGGGACAGAGGCCGTGCCCTGGGCTTTGTTCTGTGGGCACTAGCTCACTCCCTAGTGGGAGGAGGTGGGTGGAGGGGGATGTGTAATTTCTCTCCTTCAACTGACAGTCTCCATATGCTCCCCATCAGCCAAGAGTAGTGCGGACCCCAAAGGGAGCGTCCCTGCTGTTAGCACGCAAAGAGAGAAGCCAGACAGGACTTGAGGGGCAGACCGTCAAGCTGGGCTGGCAGCTGCATCGCTCTGAGTCCCCAGAGATTGCAAGGGGGGCCAAGTCCCTACCTCACTTCAGCATTCTTGTCATTCACCACAGGCTGTACAGGACAGATTCATTACATGTGGGTTGCAAAGGGGAGAGAGTCCCCACCTCCCTCCAGGTTCGGCTGTCACTCACATGTGGAGGTGTAATCTAGCCTCTTGTCATCTGTCACACTCACTGACATGACCATCCCCTCCCCACCAATCAGACACAGACAGGCAACACTTACTCATTTCTCTTCACCAGGGGCCCCTTCAGCTTGGTTTCCAGCCCCCCAAAGAAGCCCTTCACGTTCTCTGTTTTCGCTGACGTGTTCTTCAGCAGCCGCTCGGCGATGTCCTTCTTCTCCGCAAGCCAGCTGTTGGCAGATTTCAGGTAGGAGTCGATGCTCCCCACGGGCTTCTCCTTGGATTCAGAGGGGAGCAGCTGCGGCTTACCTGGAGAAAGAAAACAGCATTTGTAAAATAGGAACAGCAGACGGCAAAAGGAAATGCGTGAGGGCACCATAGCGGCCCTGAGTGGTAGGAGAATCCTTCCCCGATGCCACCAAACAAGACGGCAGGAGAACGAGGGTTTGAACACATGGTCCACCTGCAAGAAACCACCAAGCACCTGCAAATCCAGAGAAGGCAGGCACAGTGAGGGGGAACACACAGGCCAGGAGCCAGTCCTCCAACAGCCCAAGGCCTGGGGCCCCCAGACACCGAGTGTGGTCATGGAGGTGAAGTGTCAGCAGAAGACGGAAGGAAGAGATTCTTTTCCTGTGGTAGGAGATCAGGCTGGACGGCCCTTGGGCTGACCAAGACGACAAGGAGACACTGGAGGTGGGAAAACAGGGAGGGCAGAGAAGCATGAGCCACGGGAACACAAGGAACGCCTCTTTCTGATGACACCGTATGGTCCTAGAGGAGCCCTGGTGGTGCCAGGAGTTAAGTATTGGGCTGTTAAGTAATAAGAAGGTGAGAAGTTCAAACTCAGCTGACTCTGCAGAAGAGTTTGGCAGTGTGCTTCCACAGACACTTCAGTTTTGGAAGCCACAGGGGGCAGGCAGTTCTACTCTCTTACATGGTCACTATGCATTGGAATCGACTCAACAGTGGTCGTTGTAAATGGGAGGTACTGGTCAAGGTGTCCTGCAGGGGTCAAGGCTCCGTGTGCTTCAAGGCGGTCTGAGTCCTCCACAAGCAGAAGACGCACTGACCCTTCTCAGGAAAGCAGTTAGGGACTTGTCGGAGCCGTAGGAGCCCAGTTCATGCTGGAGGCCCCTCCTGACCCAGAGACCACCAGCGGGTGCAGAGGGCCAGCCTACTAGGGACATGGCCAGTGACGATGGTAAGCAGGCAGAGCTGGACTGCAGGGCTGAGGGCAGGGAGAGGACGGGCTGCAGGGCTGAGGGCGTGGAGAGAAAGGGCTGTGGTTGCAGGGCTGAGGGTGTGGAGAGGACCAGCTACAGGGCTGAGGGTGTGGAGAGGACGGGCTGTTGAGAGAAGGACGAAGCTGACTTAGAGAGGGAAGCAGGAAAACCATGTGAGTGACCACAGGGTCCTGAGAGGATGGACAGTGTCTGGTGCTGGCCCGACCCAGCTCTGGTCTCTGCACAGGCTCACAGAACCTTCTGATCACAGCTGCCTGGAGGAATCCCTGCAGTTACAGCCCAAGGAGCTTAAAATGACGCTTTTGAGCTCTAATGCCCTGGAAAGTTCAGGAGAAAGAGCCAGGAGCAACTTCACAGCCCCAGCATAAACCCCTTTCTTATCTCTAGTACAAACCTGGAGACTCTTCAGCCCAAGATCTCAGACTGCCCCCTTCACCTCACTTCTCAGCACCCATGTGCTCACTTTGGCTAAAACAACCCTGCTTTTATAACATCCAGCTCTTCCTGCCTCCCCACTCCCCTGGTCCTGTCTAAAGTGACATTTTCTCACTTCCAAACAGCTCAGTGATTTCTTCTGTACCATGGAAAGTCAACTTCTGAGCCCACGAATGGGCCATGACTTCTCCTTGTACTGTAAGGGTCTCACTCCTTGCTCCTGCCCTCCCTAATACCTACTCTCTCTGGTCTCCAAAGTCTGCCGCACCACCATGCACTGACTGGCAACTTGAGCTCTTACCGATGTGATAGTAGGTGAAGCACATGGTCATGAGGTTCTTGGCAGGCCCAAAGTCATCCATCTGGTGACACCTGAAACGAGAAGCAAGGCCGGTCGCTAAAGGACCACTCCACTCAACCCCGTCACCCTGAGTTAGCCAAACACGACCACAGCGTGCACGTGTGTGTCAAAATCAGCACTCAGTCCTAAGAGACAATGAAATCATCCCCTTGTTGCAGTGAGCGGGTCCCTAGACATGGAGACTAAGCCTGGGTCTGACGCTGGGCAGGTGGAGGTCATTTTCAGACTCTTAGTTTGAAGCTGGAAAAGTGGTGGAAACTCAGTGCAACACACAGGGAGAGTCAGGATCAGAAGCCCGGCTTCATTTCAGTTCCGTGCATGAGTTGTAGGCCACTGGCCCTCCGTCTTCCCAGGAGTTACCTGACACACTCCCTATCAGTGATCCCAAGGGAGAGCCTCTCAAGGGAGTGCTGACAGACAGATGGCTGGAGTTCCCTCAGGCGCTAAGGTGGGGTTTAGGAGCCATGTGGTAGCTTAAGTTTTGGGCTGCTCATCAAAAGGTTGGCAGTTCGAATCCACCAACTGTTCCACAGGCGAGATTCAAGGCAGTCTTCTCTAATTAAGATCTCTGGCCTCAGATACCCAATGGAGGGTGGCCATGGGTCCCTACTGGCTACAGGACAGCAGGTTTCAAGGTTGGGACCCGAGGGCCAGCCTTTCTTCTCACATCTCCCTTCTGCTGCTGCTGCTCCAGGGCCCACACGAGAACTGCTGTATCATCCATCCAGTCCTGGTTTACTGATATGTTTAGGGTACAAAGACCAAGGCACTATGCAAAAATGGGTGTTCTACAAAAATGGAGGACAACTACATCAGAGGACAGAATGCAGTGTGTCTGCAAGATTACACAACTGGCAGACTACTGAGAACGCAGGGCCAGCAGGCTGACAGCCTGAGCCAACAGAGCCAGCGCTCCTCTCCTCATACCCTCTCAGGCTTGCATCACTGGTGTGCAAACTAGGTGCACAGTGGATTTTCCTACTAGAATCGTAAAGGGGAGTATTTGATTATGAAAGGAGGAGGTGTGTTATAAACTGAGGTGTTGCAATGCAGACCTAGATTATTGCACTGGCTGAAAACCAGTGAAACTGCGAGATAAAGCTTATTCATAATGACAAATGGTCTACATGTGTACCAGAGTCTATTTATGATCTTATTACCCAAAGGTCAGTAGTTCAAATTCACGAGCTGCTCTGAGGAAGAAAGTTGAGCAGTCTTCTCCTGTAGAGAATGACAGACTCTGAAATCTGAGGGAGGGTTGCTTTGAGTCAGCTTAGCAATCAAAAAGGGGGGAGAAATTTTTTAAAAGGTCTTTCTCCAGTACAGTGCACACCAAAACAGCTGCAAAAGCTACAGCAGTATTTGTTGCAGCACTACTAAGGAGAAAAGGAAACAAGGAGAAACAGTCGGAATGTCATCAAATAGGAGAATAAATTGTGCTATGCCCATATATTAGAAGAACTTAGAGCCACGAAAACTTTCATAAATATAATGCATTTTTGTGGTAAAAAGTGCAAAACCCCAAGTCACCCTACAAGTACGTTCTCTGCTGAGGTCAAACGATACTGGCTCAGCTCTTACTCTCACAGGACTGGCAGTGACGGCAAACGTACTGACTTGGAATAGTCCACTGGCTGTGTGGTCACTGTTCACAGGCGCTACCTCGAGAGGGATGCATTCAGAAGGAGAGGGTGGGGGTGAGAGAGAGGCCTGTCTTTTCATGCAGGCGCTTGACGCCCTCATCTACTCTGTTTTTTTCTGTCCTTTTCTTTCCTGCCTAGTTTTGAACCGTGAGCAAGTGTTATTAAGAAGAAAATCAAAGAGGTGATCTAGACAAGAAGATGCTGTCTGCCGTCGAGTCAGAATGCTGACCCTCCAGAGGGCTCCAGAGGCAGACAATCACATGGCAGGTAACTGCCCATCCTTCTTCCTCATGCAACTGGTGGATTCAAATCGTGTGCCTTTGGGATTGCAATCCAGCTTCTCACCACTAGGCCACCAGAGAGAGCCCTTAATGAAATTATGGGTCACTTTTATTTATCATTTTGTTAGATAAAAACTTTGTGATATTAAAAACACAAATTTTTAAAAGCGAATCAATTTAAAGAACTAAACTACTGCAACCACGAGTTACCTCTGTACAACAAACCGACAGACCAGTGTCTTACTACTTAGAAGAGTCTTCGTCTGAAACACACTTAGGGCCCAACCAACTTTTAAGTACAAAGGCCCTCCACCAGGTCCTGACTGACCCTAAACAAGAGGCTTTCAACTCATTGTTAGCTAAATACAGCAAATCAAATCAGCTCACACACAACTGTGAACAAAATAAAAAATCCAACAGTCCACACCACAGCCTCAACCAAAACAAGGGAACCCACCTTCCAGAATCCAATAGCATCACAGAATCCAAAAACTTCCCAGCTTCCAACTGGACACTTAGGGACCAACTGACTTACAAATGCAAAGACACTCCACCAGGTCCTGACTGACTCTAACCTAGAGGTTTGTCATTTATATATATCTATGACAGAACCAACATGGCACAAAGTTATGTAAACTTCTTAATCGTCACCATGACCCTGAAGTCATAAGTTACTGATCTGAGGACACTGGGGTCATCGCCTCAGAGGGCATCAAAGTCAACTACCCCTACAAAAGCATATATGCTCAGCAAGTAATGGAAAGTTTTCATTTTGGTGAGGTCAGAACCTCTGTTGATCTGTTCCTTCCAATTCTATTTCTTTAACAAGAACTGGAGAATTAGATAAGTATGTTGACTGACATGTGGGACAGGTGAAAATGACGTAAAATATGAGTTCATGAAAATTTCTATATATGTAAATGTTTGCAAATTGAGGTACTTAAAATGCACGAGAGGCTGTTTAGTACAACACAGCCTGGTAGCATGCTTTAAAATAGCTCCAACATGCCCTTCAGGTGGGAGTGAAAGGACCTGCAGCTACTTTCAGTTGGTGGTTTTTCGGTCCCTCCACCCTTGCTGGCTCTGAAGCTTTGATTCCCTGATGGGAAGCATGTCCTAGGCCTGGAATATTCTGGCAAACTGCAGGAAAAAGAAGGATCCTTCTCTTGTTTGGTCTTATGTTCAAGGTGGCACAGGGAAAGATGAGCAAAGCAGCGGTCTCTCTGGAGAGAAGATCGGGAACACAAGTAGGTGGGAGTTCCAGGTAGAAGACGCGTATGGACACGTGACACGAGGAGGCAGTGGTAGGGAGACAAATGGGGGCTTCTAGACAGAAAGGGACAAGAGGACAGGTGGGGCACGGGAGGCTGTGGAAACAGGACCCCTTCTTCTTCCCATCACAGCTCCCACTCTGCTCTACCTGCTAGCTGACTGGACAACATCACAGTCCTGCTCAGCTTCCCCACACATGGCCAGGGCTGGGGGACAGAGAAGCATTCTGTCTGCCCCATGTCACTTGGAAAGGCAATTCACCTACTCTGACTCATGTACAGAAAATATGAAACAGTCTGGTCATCTGGTCACCCTAGAAAGTCAGCGAGCTCAGAGGAGGAGAGAGTTTGTCAATCCTTCGGTCTGGTTCCTAACCTGACAGCTGAGCTGCCGCAGGGGGGCCTTCTCCAGGGAGAGAGGGACAGCGATGTTCACAGGTAGAATGCTCGCCATTCATGCTGGGGTCCCAGGCTCCACTGCTGGCCTGTGTGTTTGACTGGCCATCAACTGTCTGTCCATGGAGGCCTCTGTGCTGCTGTAATGTGAAACAGGTTTCCAAACTAAGTTGGCCTAGGAAGAAAGGCCTGGAAAGCTACTTCCAAAAATCTGCTTATGAGAACTCTGTGAGTGACAATGGTCTGACCTGCTGCCAATCAGGGGGACAGTACTGGACCAGGCAGCCTCACAAGCTGGCAACAATAACGCAGGCGTGGCTGGCACGTGCTCTGAACTGGCCACACTGCCTTGTGGGGGAAAAGGCCCAGCAGTGCCTGATTCACACTCACAGGGCATGTGAAGCTGACAGATTACAGGGCTTTGCAGATCTGCTATTTGCTCGTGAGGTGGGAGGTTAGCTAACTTGAGTCTTTCACAACAGGATGTCAAGAAGTACTGAGACCAGACAGGCAGGGGTGCAGGATGAGCAGTAATCTCTGCTCTAATCAGGGCTGAGCTGTGAGGACTGACTCACATCCAGCTGCACAGCCTCTGCTCCCACTGGCATGTAAACACCGCATCCTTGGCATCCCTGGGTGCTGGTCATGACTTCTTCCGTGTCGATGCTGATGCATGGAACAGAGGCAAGCTGATAACTAGTGTGTATCTGAGTGAGCCGTGCCATCTCAGGGCAGGGAAGGTGGTGAGCACAGGCCTCCGGGATGGGACACAGGCTCGGAGCAGCCGCCATACTTACTCAAACAGCACCACCGCAAAGGACTGCACCAGGCGGTAGAAGGTGGGCTCTGAGACACACTTGGAGTTGCAGCGCTGTCAGAGAGAGGACACATGCAGTCATGAGGGACAGTGTGGGGGACAAGCAGAGCTCAGGGGGCTCACTAGCGTGGGTTCTGCGTTATGACACTCCCTGTACGTAGCTGGGTCAAAGGCTTCGGATGGCCACCAAAAGCCACTGTCCCTTTCTGCCAGGACCACAGGCACCTGTGCACACTGCTGTCATTCAGCTGAACACAAGCAGACATGCTCTAGTGTCTACCGATAACACTTTTAAAAGCAGAAGCTTCCCACATGCCCCCAGACAGGGCAGCTATGGAGAGGCAAAGCCCCAAGGTGACAACACTGTCAAGTCATTTCCCTGGACTGTTTCCTCCAGGGTGGGCTGGTAGGGTGAATTAAGGGGACAGGATTGTTATCCTTAGTAATTAGCTGACTCTTAGCGGGGACACTCTCTCTTCTCATCTCACCGACCCCTCACCTGTGCGCTCACGTAGCGGGCAAACCACTCCCGGCCTTTCCCGTTCTCACTGCTGCAATACTCCCCGAACTTGGCTTTCTCTTCCTGGTCCAGGTCCTCCCTGGAGAAATAGAGCAGAGGAAAGGACAACACTTGAGTGCACCGGAGGAAGAGAAGAGAGTGAGCACCAGCAAGGATTGCACCCCAGCTGACCCGCTTCTCGTGCTCTGTGGGAAGATGGTGTCCTTAGGGTGAGGGCCACCCAGGCAGGTTGGTCCCAGGACCCTGTCTTGTCTCCCCCAGCCCTGCCTTCCAGTAAGGCCTGAGGATAGCCAAGGGTGCCAGCACCCAGGACAGCTTCATGTCCCAGCTCACTGCACTCTGCCTGAATGCTGACCCTGGAGTGAGCATCGGACACCCAGGGGTTTCAGGAAGTCCTGAATCTGCTCATCTCAGCACGGACAAAGGCCCAGGTGTGGGGGGACTCTGCAAGCACTGAATTCTACCTTCTGGTGGAAAAGTCCCAAACGAAGACGAAGGTGACACACACAGAGTGGACAGTGTGCAGTGCCCAGTGCGCCTGTGTGACATTTCTCTGCTGGCAAAGCCCAAGAGCTGGGGCCTTGTGCTATCCCTCCCAGAGGTTCTGAGTACTCTGCATTTGAAAATCACCTGGAAGCTTTTAAACTTGTGGATGCTGTGCAGCTCCCTAGAGATTCCGACTTAATGGGTTTGGAACAGAGCCCAGGCACTGGAGTTGTGAAATATGCCCCATAGACTCTGCATGCAGCCAGGTGGGGCTGGGGAGCGCTGACTGGTGCAAGTGGAAGCCTGGGGCTCTAGGGATACCAGACCGGGGCGGAGCCAGAGTGTCCATGTGTCTGTACCACCCTTACCCTCCGGAGAAGACCTTCTGCACGTAGTTACACATGAATTCTCGGAGCTCCACAGTCTCCTCGTCCTGAGCCGAGGAGGCACTGTGGGTGGAGGAGAAGGAGTCATTGGAAGAGGAGCGGCGGTACTGGTCCCAGGACGGGTGGGAGAGCGACTCGTCCATGTCATTCTCACTGTCCGCAGACTCGGTGGTCTCACTCTCCGATGCACCATCCCCCTGCGAGCCGTCCGCATCCCGCAACTGTGGAGGCAGGGTCTCCGGGGGAGGTGAGGGTGGCTCAGTCCCGAAGTCAATCAGTGATCCCACTGGAACTTCCGGGGCTTCCATGGTGGCTGCGCTGGAGGTGAGAGGTGGAGAGACCACTGACTGCTTCCCAGGAGTATCAGCGGGAACTGGGGGTCAGTTGGGACCCTGTCAAGGACACAGGAGTCTCCCAGGAGCTGCTGGCCCTCCAAGATGAGCCTCTGCAGTGTGTTATCTGGCCTTAAGGCATCTGAAATGGAAACACAGACACATGAGTCTCTGACCACAGATAGCTGTCCTCATGTACATCCAGCAATCGGAATCCAGACCCAGCGGATTTATGAAGTCACAGACTCCTTGTAAAGAAAACACTCTCAAAATGTGCACAATTGGGGGTCTATACTAATGGAATTTCCCCACTGTCCACTTTACCGTGAAACTCTTGGGACATGCACACACTCAATACATGTTTGTTGAGATAGTGAACAAATCAACATCAATTATCAGAGTTTCTCCAAAGTAAGCAAATAGACTTTAAGAAGTTTGTTATCTGCCTGCCCTCCCACTAAGGCCTACGGCCAGTGAGCAAACAGGCTGGTCCAGGAGACAACCTGCCCGCACCCTGACTGTCCCAGGACGGAGGAGCTAACAGGATGGTGTGCTGTCACACACGAGGAGGGGCTGGCTCTGCTCAGCCACACACGCCACGCACTGTGGACTCTCACTTCCCACTCCATTCTCCACCAGCTCCATTCTTCCTGCTTTTCTATTTGAGACCAGAACCCTGCCAGGCTGCCCAATGTCTGTCTTTTCTCAAACATCCTGCTGACTTCTGAACACGCGTGCATCTCGGAAACTTCGAGGTCAGGGAGTCATCGGGGCAGAGGAGCTATTCTGGCCCTTCTCAATTAGCAGCCCCCATCTTCATCTCAAGGTCAGATGAGATCCCCGGGGTCCTCCTGGCAACCACACGTCTGTACTCTTCATAGGAGGGAAAATCATCCCCAGTAAAGCCCACTGCAAGTCTGTGTTCAAGGGCAAGGACAGCAACTTAAAACCAAACCTGCACCTAACCCAAGTCGTGGCATTCAAATTGCTTTGCATGCATGTAAAAAAGAGTTGGGCAATAAATAAGGAAGACTTAAGAAGAATCTATTTAAAAAAGACGGTGAAGAAGAATCGATGCGTGGTCCTGTGCCACCCCATGTCAGGCTGCAGATCTGCACTCTGTGCTCCACAGGGCTTTCCCTGGCTGGCTCTTGAAAGGAGAACACCAGACCTTTCCTCCTAGTCCACCTGCTCTGTACCATAACACACAGGCCTGCACTGACAGGTGGTGGCTGTGCATGAGGCCTGCTGGCTGGGACTGAGCTTACGAAGCCGTCGGAACAATCACTAGTTCAGAAGCAAACAGGGAGCACACGTCTTGAAAGCCTTCAAGTGGTCGCAGTGGCTGATTTAGCCAGTGGAGCGAGGAGCACAGGCGCGGAGTGCAGCTGAGCGCTGAGGCTATTTCTGTCGCAGCCTTGGGCTCTCTAGGCGGCCACAGGATGCTCTCCACAGCCCCACCTGCTGGGGGACCAAGTGATCGCAGGCAGTCTCCTTCCAGAGCCGTTGACCTGGGCAGGGACCCTGGTCATGCCGTAACTAAGCACTCAACGGCTCTCACAGAAAGGCTGGCAGTTAGAACCCACTAGCTTTCACGCTGCCAACCTAAAGGCAGGCAGTTCAAATCTACCAACTGCTTTGTGGGACAAAGATGGACAATCTCCTCCCATGTGATTTACAGCCTTTGAAAACCTGCTGGAAGGTCAGCTATGAACTAGTTCTGAGTTGACGGCAATGAGTGAGTAAGCTGTTCCGAGGGAGAAAGGTGACAGTCTGCTTCCACATAAACTCACTGTTATAGAGTCTATTGTGACTTGTAACAATCCTTCAGAACAGAGATCTGTCCCACAGGGTTTCCCAAGCTATAACCTTAAGGAAGCAGACTCCCATAGCTCTCTCCTTCTGAGCTATTGGTAGATTTGAACAGCCGACCTTGTGGTTAGGAGCTGAGTGCTTACCTCCTGAGAAACCTTTCCATAAAGAGTACAACCTTGGAAGGTCCAGCGGGGCAGTTCTACTCTGCCCTGTGTTACTAGGATGGGTTGGAATCGGTGGATTTAGTTTAAATTTTGGTTTTTGGATTTCCTGGACTCCAGGGAGGGGAGGGTTGAAAAAACTACAAGGGGAGGCTCAGGAGAAGGAAAAGCTGCACAGGTGGTCGAGGGGACCACTCAGGGCCTCTGAGCACCTCATCCTGTGTGTCACCCACCATCTGGAACCCTCTGCCTCCCCTGTTAGGAGGTCACAGCACAAGGACCTCTTCTCTCCGGGGAGAGAAGGTAAGATACAAAGCTTGCCCTAAGCAAAGACATCAGGACAAAGCAGATGTCAGAGGCAACTCGCACCCTCCTCATCCTCTAGGGAAGAAAGGCAAGGGCTCCAGCAGAGGCAGTCACAACACATCAAGATCACAGCACTCAACAGCTCCTGGAGCCAGCTGTGGGGCCCAGGCCTGCGCGGGCAGCCACACCACCTGGGGCACAGGCCGAGGTCATCACGGCTCCTGCTGCTGGGAGGTGCCATCCAGTCAGGTCCAATCCACAGATCCTCTGTGTGCGACAGAACGAAATTCTCCCTGATTCTGCACATCCTCACAGTCGTCACTCTGTGTGTTTTCTAAAGATAGCTGAAGTCTCTCAAAAGTTTGAATATCATGCTCGCTTCAGCAGCATATATGCTAAAATTGGAACGATACAGAGATTAGCAAGGCCCCTGCACAAGGATGACAAGCAATGAAGTGTTCCATAGTTGTGATTGATTGTATAAAACACAATGTAAAGGAAAGAAACTTAATGCACACAAATGACTATATACAAACCAATTAAAAAAAGAAGGGAAAAAAGTTTAAACCCTGGAACTCATTCACTTGTGGACCAAAGAAAACACTTGGTGCCCCAATCCATTTGCTCACGACCCATGTGGGGCCACTTTCTGAGAAAACAAGGCCTTAAGCAAGAAGGAGGCTCTGTAAAATGAAGAATGCAGATAGTAAAATGCATTCCCATGGACTCGACGTTGTACAGACCTTCTTGCTACTGCACTTTGCAATTCATCTTTTATGTCCTATGATGGAAACTTCTGCCAATTTTAGCATAAAATTATAAGTTAACAACTTCCGATATCCTTATAAGATCTGATAACCATTTATTCAGCAAATATTTATTATGAAACTACTATGAATCAGCTCTGTACAAGGAGCTAGAAATACAGAGGGAGTGGAGCTTTCTGGAGCGTCTGGGGGGGTTGTATACAGGAGCAGGCAGACAGGAGGAGACTGCTCAGTACTGAAGACCCCCAAGTGCAGAGCGAGGGTCTTTGGCAGGGCAGTCAGCGACAGGACAGAGTGAGGCTGAGGTAGGGGGAGACAACTAGCAAGGAGGGGATGAGGCTGGAGTCTTCTGAGCAGAGAAAGCAGCCAGCATAGGCCTCAAGGCAACAAGGAGTTCGGAAGGGTTAGGAACCTGAAAGCAGGAAGTGAATGGGGTCGCCATGTGGGGAGACTTGCTGGCCACCTAGAATATGGACACTGTTTGAAGGGGCAGGAGGAGCTCAGGTGGAACAGAAATTGGCAACTAATCAGCAGAAAAGCTGGTGGCTGGAACCTCCCTGTGGCTCTGCGGGATAGAGACCAGGCGATGGCTTCCATAAGGTTGACAGCCTAGGGAACCCTGTGGAGCAACTCTGTCACATAGGATCCTGAGTCAAAACTGACTCAGCAGCACTTAATGACACCAGCAGTGCCTGGAGCATGGAGGGCCAGCAAAGGGGGCCCGAGCTGCTGGCCGCAGAGGCGGAATTCTGGCGGGCGGCTTCCTGGGTTGCCTCACCTGCTACCCCAGCCCACTTCCCCCATGAGTCCTTTCCCACCACTGCACCAAAGGAACTGGAATGAGGCTGCCTTCTGCTTTCTGCTCAGCCACATCCCCACGGGCCTTTGCTCATCCGTAAGCCAGCTGCAACTCTGATTTCCCCAACAGCCTGAGCAGACGGAGCAGAGGCTTGCTGCCCACAGAGGTCTGCCTTGTGCAATCAGCCTAAGGCTCCACAGGGGGAAATTCAGCAGCTTTTGTAATTCTGCCCCTTTCCATCAACCTCAAGCCTCCATCAACTTTCTCGGTTAATGTCCCCCAAAACTACCACTGTGCTACTTCTGCTACAGAAAAGAACGAAACAGCAAAGCCTTGCCAAGCTTTGCATACATAATGTGATTGTTCCTCTTATCCATCTAGTTCATAAGCTCATCTGAAGTCAGTAAACCAAGGCCTGGAATAGCTACGCTCACATCCACCCAGCCAGAAGTGAGAGCACAGGATCTAGACAAGGGTCAATCCCAAAAGCTCGCCTTTGATGCTCTCAAAGGACACTATGTAGAAGGAGAATTTCTGGGTCAAAGGGTTTGCACATTACTAAAGCTTATGGCGATGCTGTCATTAGCTACTACTGAGTCAGGCCACACAAACAGAAGTAAACACTGCCCAATCCTGTGCCATCCTCACCATCTGTTATGGATTAGGTAGTTACAGTCATAGTCGACGCGACGGCACCTTACAACAATCGCAGAATTAGCACTGGCTGCTCTTCAAAGGTAAGTCAAGAGGCCTTCCCTCCTAGTTCACCTAGTCTAGCAGCTTCACTGAAATCTCCACTGACTGGGGAGTGGTGTCTGTGCAAGATTATACTGGGCAGAAACCGAACCAGATCTCCTGCGTGGAAGGTGGGTGAGGGTTTGCCACTGAACTGCCCAAGCTCCCAAGGCTTAGGGTAGGTGTTTCCAAATCATCTTCCCCAACTCAAGCTCTCTATATTTGGCAGGCTTCATAAACGAGGCTTCATTTCAACCACAAGATCAATAAACCACAGCTCAAATCAATTCGCCCACTCTTGTAACTGCTGAGGCTGCAGAGATGACGGGCAGGTGCATCTTAAAAACAAAGGAATGGAACACAAAGCCATGACTTGGGTCTTCTCAGAGCTGG